AAGCAAATTTATCTTTCATCTGATGACGACGGGCACAATAACCTTTTTATGCTATACCCAGAGGGGAGAAGGGGGTAGGGGAGGAGGACGCACTGGTAACCGTGTCCATGGCATGATACCCGGCTAGGGGGGAGCCAGCAAGGAACGGAAGCGAGGTTGGATCTGTTTTTGCGTCTGTATCCCGGCCAACACTGAGGGGAGAGGAAGATCCAAGTCCAAGACTTGTGCAAACACATCATTTCAGCACGGACAGCGGCGTTTCTTTGGGTTATTCGCTTTGGCCCCTTCTTTTTTCTGTGAATAAAACAAAAAGTCCCATTATTGTGTCTACCTTATATACACCATGCCTATTTCTTCGTTGGTTTCTTTTTGTACTCGGGCACTTTGGGGACCTAGGCGTCTCCAATGCATTTCCGTGCCCTGCAGCGGCTCGCGACTAGAATAGCCTTGGGAAACCCGCCTCATCAAAGGCCCATACTTCGTTGTATATATGATGAACGAATGGAGGACATGCGGCGGGTAGTACTTGGCGAAAGAGGGAAGCGTGGACTTAAGGAATTTTGGGTTCGAGTTTTCCCTCCATAAAGACATCTGGAGGGTGCGGATGTTGTTGTGATGCGACGTCGGGGGAGAGTATCACTATCCCAACTGCCTTGCCAACCTTCATCCTCTCAGGTACCTTATGTCTATGTTTTTGGTATCATTCGAGGTACTATACAAATATTTGAACGAACATATAAATAAGTCGTCTAGTAAAGTTCCATCTTTTCTACATTCTCGAGATGGATGAGTCCGTTTGGTGGCTAATAGTCCGGTCAGTTTCTCTTGTTTCCTTTGTGTTTTTGTTCGTAAAATCTCATGCTGGTAAAGAGGCACGGGTGACGATACTTACAGGGACGAACTGGCGCAACTTGACACCCGCCTCGCTGAAAACAGCCGCGGCCTGGGTATCCATGCTGTAGCCCTGGGCGTAGACGACCTCCCGGATGCCGACCTGGCAGATCTTGATGCTGCAGGTGAGGCAGGGGCAGGTGTCGCAGTAGAGGACGGCGCCCGGGGGGATGCGCTCGCGGCCGGCCTCGAGCAGCGCGTTCTCCTCGGCGTGGATGCAGAGGCAGGTGACGAGCGAGGAGCCGGAGGCGGAGGCGGGCCCGCCGTCGTTGCAGCGCGGGCAGCCGCCGTCGCCGCAGTTGCGGAGGCCGCGCGGGGTGCCGTTGTAACCTGTCGAGAGGACGCGGCGCTCGGCGCCCGAGACGAGGACGGCGCCGACGCGGCGCTTCATGCAGTTCGAGCGCAGGGAGGCCAGCGTGGCGAGGGCCATGAAGTAGGCGTCCCATGAGGGCCGGAGGCGGGCTGGGCTGGGGAGGTCGATCTTGGCGAGGGTGGCGTAGAGGTGGGGCAGGGAGGGGGAGGTGTTGAGGAGGCGGACGGTGGCGCGGGAGATGAGGGGTTGCAGGCCTGACTGCGGGTGGTAGAGGCGGGCGTCGGAGTGGGCGACGAAGGATTCGAGGTTGGGGATGTCGGGGAGCGTCGTCGATGGGGACGCGGATCTTGGGGTCTTGGTGCCGTTGGGGGCCGCAGCAGCAGCAGCAGCAGCAGAAGTAACAGCAGCAGAAGTAACAGCAGCAGAAGTAACAGCAGCAGAAGTAACAGCAGCAGAAGTAACAGCAGCAAAGGATCGGACGACTTGGTAACGGCGCCAACGGATGGTGATGGGAGCATCGACGCTGACGAGGAGGAAGAAGGGGCGGGTGGCTAGGACGTCGAGGACCGATTCGTTTTGGATGTCGGTCAGGACCCAACGGTCTCTCCAGCGTGGGGTGACAAAGTCGAGCAGGGCTTGCGGCGAGGTGAAGGTAAGTCGTGAGGGCAGGGCCAAGCTCGTTCCATCGATACTGGGCAGCAAGGGGTCGGTTCTGGCAGTCAGGCTGTTTATGGCGGCAGATGATGAAGCGTTTCCGTCTTTCGGAGGCAGGCCGCAGGCTGCTGCGCTGGTGGTTGGGACATCAAGATAAATGCGCTGGAAGCCATGGTGGTCGACAAGATACTGGGCTACTGTCTTCTTCCCGGCACAGATCCCTTCATTCAATTCAATCATTAGTCATCCATATATCAGCTTTGAATATTCGGTAGTATCAACACGATAGAGCAGAGAATAGGGGAGAGACGGTCCCGGTCTTCACAAGCAGAAGCTCAAGTCAGAGAAGATGGAAGATGCTCTCTTACCTCCGCAGATACCGATAAGCATGCTGATTCAATGTGATGAATAGTTACTGTATGAGGGAAGTCGAGGTCGAAATAGAAGATCACAATGTCTCCTGCTTTGCGTTTCCTCTCATTGATCCCAGAGACGTGGACGGTTCATTACTTCGTTATTAGTGAGTCCAGATATTTCGTACAGCGCATGGATCGTGCATGGCTACCTTAATGAGACGCGTCTTGGACGCGTTAAGTGGTGCGAGCTTATTGGTCAACCATCGATTAGTAAGCATTACATTGCTGAAGCCACAACCTCACGGAACGTGAATTACCTAGGTAGGTAGGTACTGTAGATGCCATGACATAATAGCACTATAGCTCCCAAAGGTACCTTAATTCACCACCTAAGGTACCTTACCTTAGGTACTCATACAACACGAGGCACCCGAGGCCACCTGAAGGCAACAGCCTCCTTCTACTCGTGACCAAACTTATGTTTGCTGTAACCGATGACTTCTCTCCCACATTGCACTTTATTTTCTCTTTGGTTCAGTTTCTTTTCTATTCAAACGGTTTTCATTCTGTACTTTCTTGGCTGAAACTCGCGCCTCCACGGAGTAATTACCTTATAAAAGAAAAGACTGCTAGGCGGGCATCGAGACCAAGTACCCGGTCCACTTCCTCAATATTCCTCAGGTCATCATCTACAACGTGAGGTACCTACCCCGCCTATCGACTTCATCCTCACCAGAGTCACCACCACCCGCTGGGCTTCAGCTCTTCCGTTCTTACTTTGACATTTCTGTCCATATTGGGCGTCGACTTCCCTTCTTCCCTCAATACCATTAAGGAGATATTCAACGATATCATCGGCACAGCACACGGCACACAGGAGACAGCACACAGCAGACGACGTCTACCGCTTTGACCCCGCACCCATCTCTCCGGCCCGGGCGGCCTTGGTCAAACAGCTCACCATGGCGCTTCAATATGCGCCCTTTACTTCCGACATAGAGCTTCCGTTTTATGCAGCTCTCTTCTCGTCAAAAATCGATCATGACAAGCTCGACGACTCGGTCCGTAAGGTTATTGGCCAGTATGCGCCGCTTCCTGTTGAGCCTGGGCGCAGTTGCAAGATGCAAATCTTGGGTAATGCGCTCACTAGAGACGAGTAAGTCGGAGCTTTCTTTCTCTCTGTTCTCTCTGTTTCTCTGTTTATCTTTCTCTTCAGGGCCAGCAGCTTTTGCAGTATTAACCGCGTCCCAGAACTGAAAACGAGGTCAGAGCAGAGAGAGAGCATATCAGAGCCGAAGGGTCCATCAAGAATGTCAACACCATGGAAGACTTTAAGAATGCAGACAAACCAGCTATTCTCCAGCTGGCTGCACGCCATGTATGTCTACCATTACTACCACCCATCCGGTCCCTTCCCTCTATCCCTCCAGTCTCTAGCCAACTAACCATGAAACTCTACCCCTTAAGATCTGGGATGCCATCAACGACGGCTCCATCTACGAAGTTCCCTCTCTCCTCTCCTCGTTCACCATCCTCTCGTACGCCGACCTTAAGAAGTACCGCTTCACATACTGGTTCGCCTTTCCGGCTCTACACTCCGACCCCCAATGGAAACGCGTGGGTCCAGTCGGCTACCTCACCCCTACGGAGAGCGCGGCTCTGGTTGACCGAGTCGGGACCTGGACATCACAACGGGTCAACAGTCGCCAGAACGGCTTCTTTCTGGCCAAGAAGGTCAGGGGCATGGACCTCAGCGATTACTCGGAGGACGGGAACCACGAGCTCCACGCCCTCAACAACGAGGCCGGCTACGTGTGGGAGATTGGCAAGCTGGCCGATTTTGAAAGCGGGTTCTTCCACGACGTCGCCGACGAAGACCGCTACGTCGCCTTCGTCGACCCTTCGACGTACGCCGAGAACCCGTCGTGGCCGTTGCGGAACCTCCTCTGGCTCGTGCGCCAGCGCTTCCGCCTTGACAAAGTCAACATTTTATGCTATCGAGAGCTCCGGGCCAACCGGAACAGCGCGCGGAGCATCGTCTTACAGCTCGAGACCGACGCGAAGGAGCCGCTCAACCCCGACAGCATGCCCAAGGCGACGGGCTGGGAGAGGGACGGCGAGTCGAAACTCCGGGCCCGGGTCGCCAACCTGGCCGAGTACATGGACCCGGCCAGGCTAGCGGACCAGTCGGTCGACCTCAACCTCAAGCTGATGAAGTGGCGCATCGCCCCGAACCTCGACCTGGAGGCCATTCGGAACACAAAGTGCCTGCTCCTCGGCGCAGGGACCCTGGGCAGCTACGTGTCGCGCAACCTCCTGGGATGGGGCGTGCGCAAGATCACGTTCGTCGACAGCGGCCGCGTCTCCTTCTCCAACCCCGTCCGGCAGCCGCTTTTCGAATTCGACGACTGCCTCGGCGGCGGCAAGCACAAGGCGCCCCAGGCGGCCGCGGCGTTGAGGAGGATCTACCCGGGGGTGGAGAGCGAGGCACACGTGCTTTCGGTGCCCATGCTCGGCCACCCTTTCACGGACGAGGCCAAGACGAAGGGCGATTTCGTCCAGCTGCAGAAGCTGATTGGAGAGCACGACGCCGTTTTCCTCCTGATGGACAGCCGGGAGTCGCGGTGGCTGCCGACGGTGATGGGCAAGGCCGCCGGGAAGATTGTCCTGAACGCTGCGCTGGGTTTTGATAGTTTTGTTGTGCTGCGGCACGGGGCGGAGCCGAAGGATGCTGCGCCTGATGACATGGAACGGAAGACATTGGGCTGCTATTTTTGCAATGACGTCGTTGCTCCGGCGGATGTAAGTCTACATATGGTCTATGCCGACCGTTTCTTTCTTCTTTTTTTTCTTCTTTTTTTTCTTCTTTTTTTTCTTCTTTTTTTTCTTCATTTTTTTCTTCATTTTTCTACATCTTTTTTCTTCTTCCTCCCCTTTGGCAGAGAAATCCACTGACAACAGAACGATTTAGTCTCAGAAAAACCTCACCCTCGACCAGCAGTGCACCGTCACACGACCCGGCGTGGCGGCCATCGCATCAGCCCAGCTGGTCGAGCTCCTGGCCAGCCTGCTCCAGCACCCGCTCAAACACCACGCGCCGGCGCCGCAATCTGCGCATGGCGTCACGCCGGCGCGCGACCCGCCCGACCACCCCCTCGGCCTGGTGCCGCACCAGGTGCGCGGGTTCCTCGGCACGTTCGAGAACATGGTGATCCGCGGCGAGTCGTACCCGTCCTGCAGCGGGTGCAGCCCGCACGTCCTGGAGACGTATCGGCGCGACGGGTGGGGGTTCGTCAAGCGGGCGCTGCAGGAGAAGGACTATGTGGCGGAGCTGTCGGGTTTGGCGGATGTGCAGCGGCAGGCGGAGAAGATGGCGGCGCAGGTGGAGTGGGAGGACGAGGACGAAGGGGCGGATGAGGGTGATGGGGAACTGATTTAAGGGCGCAAGGGGTACTTTATTTGCATGAAATGGGAGGGACCTTTTTTCCCTTTTTTTTTTTTTTTTTAATCGGCGATCTACTTGGCTTATTTTGGTCTCCTTCTCCTTGACGGGAAAGCTCGTCAATTTTTGAAGGGGGGGTTTCATTTTCTTTCCTTTCCAGCCCTTGCATCCATCGCCACGGCTTGCTCGGACAGCAGCCTTCTTTATGCCGCGCAACTAAACCATTGTATGATCACAACATATGTAAAATACTTGAAGTGGTAAACAGAAGTGAGTGAGTGGATCACTTGGAGGCACGTGGGATTCTCTGGCTGTAGAGATGGTGCATGGGATCGAGGGTCTCCTGACTTGATCACCTGTTCACTTGTTCGCGTGGTTGTTGGTTGGTACGACGTATCATTCAGTGAAGGGGAAGAACACGTCCTGTCTGTAATTACTTCGTACCTAGGTAGGAAGAGTATGAATATCATTTCCTGAAGTAAAAGATGCCCCGACAAGTCCACGGCAAATCTGACCTCTTCCAATGTATCTTGGTCCGTCTTTCCCTTGGACTTTTTTTCTTCTTTTTTTTACTTTTTTTTTTTATATATATTAACCTCCCACTCTATGACAAAGAAAGTGGATGAACGAAGATCATTAGTTTGTATTAATTACTTTGTACCTTAGTCAACTTCGACTCGCGCGTCATCGGTGACGACTTGTACATCTATGGTACCTAGGTACGTAATACATTTCTGGGTGAATGCGAAGTTACTAATAGGTACTGCGATGAGAACCATGAGTGGACGGTAAGACACGCCGGGCTCCACTAGCGAAACGTCAATGATCACGTGCATCTCCCCTGAACTACGGAGTACAGGCACCGTCTCCCTCCTCCCTGGTACTGTCCTAAGACCAACTGACGAGGAGACGATAATTAGGGCGCTCCCATCTGGAAACATTTATCAGCTAGTCCAACCGGCCAAACAATTTCTTCTTTATTTTCTCTCCTTTTAACGTCGTCAATACGCCAATCCCTACGTTGGTCTTTGCATCCCGGCTTCCCTCTCCCCCTAAGCCGTCTGTCTCATTCTCGTCTCCCCAGGCCCGGTAGCCGGAGGAGACGGAGACGGGAGAACTACCACGGCGTGCGACGGGGGGCCTTTCTTCCAGCACTATGCTGAGATTCATACACCGGCGTCTCTTCGAGACACCAACGGAATCCGTAGACAACTATCTGGGCGTCGCCGTACCACTCGAGGAGGCGCACTGGTACAGCCACTCCCGGCGCACGGGGAAGACCGAATTTGAGGAACGGGACCTGGAACGGCCCGGCGATGATGATGCCGCTGATGAGGAGGATAACCGTCTCAAGGATTCGGGTGCGGACGAGACGCGCGGCATGCTGGAGATGAGCGCCGCCGAGTACACCATTGCCGGGCTTAGGAAAGAGGTCTGGTCAGGGAGGGGTGATTTTACCGACTATGAGCGTACGTTTTCTTGTCTTCCATTGTGCCTCTACCTGAGAAGGGACAGAGGAGAAAAGCGAGCTCGAAAATGAAGACTGACACGAAGACCTGCAGTCAAGTCCAAGTTGATCAACAAGGCCATCCAGGACATTGGCATGGGCAAGTATAACTGGCAGTTGTTCGTGCTCTGCGGGTTTGGCTGGTTTGCCGACAAGTAAGTGTTTCTTCCTCTTCTTCTCTGTCTGGCGTTGGGCAGTTGATATCAAAGGCCCTTCTTGCTGACTTGGTTCTCAGTCTTTGGATGCAAGTGAGTCCCAATTTCTCTCTGATCTATTCGAGTCTCGAGTCTCGAGTCTCGATACCTCAGCTCGGCTTCATACTGACGACGGCTGTAGGGCGTCTCGTTGACCCTCCCCTCCTTGTCGGCAGAATTCGACATCCCCGAAAAGACCGTCCGATACACCACAAGCGCCCTCTTCATCGGTCTCTGTTTCGGAAGCTTCTTCTGGGGCATCGGCTCCGACATTCTCGGCCGTAGACTAGCCTTCAACTGCACCCTCCTCATCACCAGCATCTTCGGTCTCATGACATCCTGGGCCCCGACCTGGGGCGCCACCTGCTTCCTCTACGCCGCTCTCGGCTTTGGCGTCGGCGGGAACCTCCCGGTCGACGGCGCCCTCTTCCTCGAGTTTCTGCCGGACGCCTCCAGCTCGCTGCTGACCCTCCTCTCCGTCTGGTGGCCCGTCGGCCAGCTGGTTTCGTCCATCCTGGCCTGGTACTACATCGCCAACTGGCCCGCCGACGAAGGGTGGCGGCTCTTCGTCTTCGTCGTCGGCCTCATCACCCTCGCCATGTTCGCCGTCCGCTGCTTCGCCTTCAACCTCTTTGAGTCCCCCAAGTTCCTCCTCTCGCGCGGCCGCCAAGCCGAGGCCATCGCCGTCGTTCACGGCATCGCCTATCGAAACGGCACGAAGACCTGGCTGACCGAGGAGGTCCTCAACGCCGTGGTCGGTGGCACGGATACCGATGCGGACATGATGGACGCGGATGCGGAGAGAAGCCTCGCCGTCACCAAAAATGCTCTCAAGGACAAACTAAAAAACTTCTCCGGCGCGCGTCTGAGGCCGTTGTTCCAGAACAAGCTGCTCGGCCTGACCACCTCCCTCATCTGGTTCTGTTGGACCACCATCGGGATGGGCTACCCTCTCTTCAACGCCTTCCTGCCCCAGTACTTTGCGCGCGTCAGCAACCCCGGCGGCGGCGGCGGCGGCGGCGGCGATGGTGCCTCGCCCACACCCCCGGAAGACGGATCCGTCCCGGCCTTGACCCCGGAAATCTACCGCAATTACGCCATCACCTCGGTCATGGGCATCCCGGGCGCCCTGCTGGCCGCTTACCTCGTCGGCCACGAGTCGCCCTGGCTAGGCCGCCGCGGCACCCTGGCCATATCGACCTTCGTATCCGCCATTTTTCTCTTCCTCTTCGTCGAGCTCGGGACCACCGCGACTGCCCAGCTCTTCTTCTCCTGCGTCGAGGCCTTTACCCAGAACATCATGTACGGCGTCCTGTACGCCTTCACCCCGGAGATCTTCCCCGGTCCCGTTCGCGGCGCGGGAACCGGGGTCGCGAGCTTCCTCAACCGCATCGCTGGCCTTATGGCTCCCCTAATTGCCGCCAACGTCCCTGGCGACGGTACTACTGCGCCTGTCTTTATATCGGCCGCTCTCATCCTGGCTGCTTTTGTTGCCATGTGTCTGATTCCCATCGAAACGAGAGGCAGGCAAAGACTCTAACGTTGTTACCACCCACTCTCCGTGGAAACTCCTTTTTACTTACTTATCAAGGCACATGCCTGCAATTTTTTATTTCTTCTTCTTTTTTTTCATGATATTGAAAGAGAACAATCTGTGGCATACAATACATCCGGTGGGGGCAGAATTGGATATCCCATTAGCGGTATTAAATGGGTTTCTGCATAACGGCGTTGGTTCGGGATATTATAGGCTTCGGGTGGCCTCCCTTCCCTCATCGGGGACTATGAGAATCACAGGATATACTATGTACACTACCGGTTTTTGACATCCCTCTAGCATGACTTTGAAATATATCTTGGTGGCAGCACCGGCTGATTTCTGGGAGCCTTCTTTCTCAACAGCTCACGCCTTCTCACTCCTTTCTATTTCAGTGTTCGACTAGGCCCCATATATACCAGCCTTTCGGGCATTCATGGATTATCTAGGGTATCAATCGTTGAAACCATTCTATTCAATTCTTGCAACACATCTTCGGCCTCGGCCTAGTTCCCGTCGTCCCCAGCAGCAGGATCGGTCCTTCGTCTTCTGACCGAGTTTCCCACGGCATCTCGCACCATGGGATCGGCGCGGATGGTGTTCTGGACAAGCCAATCCTTCACCTTGGTCCGCACCTTGCCCAGCGCGTCAGGGTCGTCAGCGAACGGCGCCATCTCCCTGTCAAAAAGCCTGACCGTGTCGGACTGCAGCCCCTGAACCATGGAATCGAGCTGCTCCAAGCCGCGGAGGAGGGTCTCCTCGCCGACGTCGTCGGGGGGCCCCCCGCCGCCGACGCTGCGGAACCAGTACTCGAACGTAGGACCCAGCTGGTTGAAGGCGATGTAGAGCGCGATACTGGCCTTGCGCACCACGGTGATGAGCTGGAAGGGCAGGTACGGGGCCCTCCCCGTAAGGGGGGTGACGGCGGCGTTGAGGGCGGTCAGGACGGCGGGGTGGTGCGGGCGGGTGACGACGTGGCACTCGAAGACGCAGAGCGAGGCGAGGAGGACCCAGCGCCAGTAGCGCCCCCAGTTGAGGTAGCCGAGGAGGCCGAAGCCGTAGAGGAAGACGGCGGCGACGCCGTAGTGGGGTAGGGTGGACTGGAAGACGCCGCGGGCGACGTAGTCGCGCACGGTGGAGGCGTGGCGCCAGGCGGTGATTTCGGGGCCGAAGCGGTCGTAGGCAAAACGGGCGGCGCTGTCGAGGAGGGTCTCGGAGGCGAGCTTGAGGTGGATGAAGCGGTCCGCCGTCGCGTCGCCGGAGGAGCCGGCCTTGTCCGGGTGGTGGATGGTGGCGAGGCGGCGGAAACGCGACTTGATCTCCTTGTCCTCGGCGGCGAGGCTGGGGAGGCCCAGGTCGCTGTAGAAGTTGCCCTGGCGGCGGAGGTCGTAGTCGGCCTCGTAGAGGGTGTAGAGGAGGTAGGCGACGACGACGAGGGCGTGGATCGTGCGGCGATGGGTCACGTAGCGGGGGCTACCTGGTTGTGGGCGAGGAGATCCGGCGCGGATGGTGAGGGAGTAGTAGACAGATTGCAGCCAGCCGGTGACGAACTGGAGGAGATAAGAAAGGGTTGTTAGTGTGAAGCCAAGCCAAGTCAAGAAAGCGGGGAGCGGAAAATGAGGAAGAAACGTACCTGGGGTAGAAAGGACCACCCCAAGAGGGAGATGAAGCCAGACATGGTTGTCGATGTCGAGGGTTTCTAGGGACTGTTTGCCTGTGTCATTTCAGATGGACTTGGCCGGCTGTGGAAGAAGAAGCAGAAGGAAGCAGTAAAACGAAAGAGAGTGAAAACAAACTCCAAGAAAAAGAGAAAAAGAAAAGAACAAAGCGAGGGTGACGCTTGAGGTGGGATGCCTTTGTGTTCTTTCACGAGCTGGTCAACTTTCTCCGCGATTGTTCTTTGACACCTCAATGGGATTACCTTAGAGGAGGACACGCATATAAATTACGTAGTGCGTTGGTACGCAGTACGATGTACCTAGGTACCTGTACCTCTATGGGTACCTTATCTACCTAACCGCTAAGATACACCAAGGTACCTTCACCAACCATTGCCCGCCCGACGTCGCGCGCGTGCCTGTCGGCTCGGATTATTCTCATCCCGTCAGCCCTATCTATCACATCTAACCGTACCTCCAGACTGAGAGACGACGACTAATAACGCCAGCACCAACATCACGGCCTTCGTCTTACGACTACCTTTGTGTTACTACTGACGAACAATATATGGCCAATTCAAAGAAAACTTTGTTGCTTGTGTCTCTTTAATAGATCTCGTTTTTTTTTTCTTGCCATCCAAGTTACGAATCTGCTCGACCTCCTTAGAGCTCCATTACCTGTTGTTATGGCAGGTGTCCCTGCAACGATCAAGTTTAATAAGGCCTGGTATAGAGCGGAGCCTCGGTCTTTGAATATTTGACTTGGTAAAAGAGTAGAGTTGTCGAGTAATAGAATCGATGCAGCGTGACTCGGCCTCAGGAATGGTCTACTCGACGTTGCCTTTGAGAGAGGGAGAAAGGGAAAGAGTCTTTGTGCGATGTATTGCCCCAGCGCTCTGCGAAACTATGCTCTTTCCTTTGTTAACGAGAGCATTGGGCAAGTCACATCTCTCAGAGATACTATGCGCTTTCCCTTATTGTTGAACACTTGTGAACAACATCGCAATGTTATCCCATGAGAAAACATCACTCTTTATTCACCACCATACAAAGGCATACCAACAAAGCTATTCGATATCAATATAACTGCATCCTGTCATGCCCTCGCAGCTCCGGGATATTAAATATGATGGATAGCCAACTCCAAGGTGTGAATGGAGGCGCGCTTCACACAACATGCTCAGTCACGATATTCAACAGAAACAACATCACCGATACCGAGAACAATCACGACAATTACGACCCAAAGAAACACTTTCAAGCAAATCTATACAGTAAGTGCTCATTATTCAGCTACAAAACAAAAAAAGACATGGCATTGTTCCCCTTGGTAACAACTATCGCCAAAGACCTCTTCAATGGGGTTTTCCATGGAATCTTTTGGGTACCCGTCGTGGCCTGCTTGGGCGGCATAATCCGCGGCACCCTACGGTCCACGGTCATCAGCTTTGTGCTCATTTTCTTCGAGAACCGGTTCCAATTCGAGAATCGGGGGCAACGCGACCTCTTCAACCGCGGGATGGATTGGATCGCCTGCGTGCTAGGCGAGTTCGTGCCGTCTTTCATACTCGCTCGAATCTTTCCCGACGTGGGCCCGTGTCTCGATATCATGGTGGCGCCCGACCCGTCGACCTCGGAGACATGCGCCTTCGTCGTCGTCTTCACCATCATGTGCGTGCAGCAAAGTCTCCAAGAGATGCAGTACAGGTTGGACCTGCGCTACGCCATGACGTGGAACAAACTAGAGGCCATCAGGAACCAAATGCGCACCCACCCGGGCGAGTGGGAGGTCAACGACGGATACCGGGGCCTCAACCACCATACCCCCGAGGAGCTGAACCGGTTGATGGACAGACGGCGGAAAAGAGCCCTCGAAAAGGTCAAGCGCATACAGCGGCAGCTGGTCTTGCTGAACTTGGCGTACTGCTGCGCCTGGGAGATGAATATTTTCCTGGCGCACTGCATCCACGACAGAGTCCGGACCCGCTGGCCGAATCAGATCTGGGACCTCCCCGTCCTCCCCAAGAGCGTGCGGATGCAGCTGCCGGAAGACACCACCGTGCTCGGACGCAGCGCCTACTGGGTCTTGCACGGGTTGCTGGCCGCCCGTAACTACCTCAGGCTGAGCTATGACGGATTTGATTCGAACGTCCACGACCTGGTGGTGGCTCCGCTGATGATGACCTTGCATTGGGACGCCATGGAAGGTCAGAAACAGGCCCTGGGTGGTCGTGTTTTCTACGGAAAGAAACTGAACCCGGCTCACAAGCACAAGAGGACGATCTGATGTCGGGCCAACTTCTCGACTGAGGACTGGACTAGACGAGGGACAAGCGAAAACCGGGGACTTGCTGGCAAAACTCGGTCGCTTCGGTCTCCTCGTTCCCCGATACACTGTGTGTAGTGTGTGTATTATACAGACAGGTAAGCACTTTCAACTCAAATGATAGCTGGGTTCAATACCTCCCCTCCCCCCCCCCCCCTTTTTTTTTTGTCTCTCCCCCTTTCTTTTAGATCCCCGCAGCAATGAATAAAATGTCGCATTCATATATGATAAGCATGTTTCTGCCTCGAATTGTTGTTGACTTGATTAGGCGGAACATGGTGAAAGACTGGCTGGCAGCCCTGGTGTGACTCGGCACATCCATTGCCCGTCACCAACGGACGCCACCGTAAAGATGGAGGTTTGAGGCGGCACAAGCGGCCCAGGTCGGCAGCATCGTATGTCGGGGGTGCGTGGGTGTGCTCTGGGCAATGGGTAAAGGGAACAAGGGCAGACAAAGCTCGATCCAATACTTACCTGTCCGCGGTGGTAGATACCTGGTAGATACAGACACTCGCATAAAGTGCTCAACCCCATCCTACATCCCCTCAGGTTGACGCGGAATGAAGCTGAACTCTGCTAAGCAGACGGACAGATGACCTTCCCTAGTTCGTTGTCAAGCAATTGACGTTTGACGCCGGCCATACAACGTATACCGAACTCTGTCAGGACGGAAGAAGTACGTGTATCCATCCGATCGAAACGGGGGCGATATGGGTGGCGGAAAGAAAATGCGTGAGGATCGAATCGATCGTGGCATGCACAGACAGACCTTATCTCACGTGGGTTGAGGAACGTTGTTCCGTTGCGAACCGTGTGGAATTTTGCGAAATCGCAAAAGATCCATTCCATGCATGAGATGATGCATGATGCAGCTTTCGAGATGGCAGGGGAGTTGGATTGCAAGACCCCTCAGCGATAGATTGATCGCCACAGGGACAGCGATCGGAAAGCCTGAACCCACGTGGGATTGGCAGCGGCGGGTCAGCTCCGGGCGTGCTGGGAGCAAGAGGAGGAGGCGGACGGGACAAGATCGAAGGATGTGAAGGGTTGCAGTGCTGCAGTGCTGCAGCTGCCCGCATCCCCTATCGGTAGTGGTAGTTGGTTAGTATCCAGTGTCCAATGGAAGTCCGGCTTTGGTAAAAGTGAGTAGCGAACGACAAGGAAGATTTCAGCGCGAATACCCCGTCTTGGGGACGAGGTGAGTTGAGCAAGAGCCGGAGGCGGGAGGGAGGCCAAGACACGGCACCCGGCGGACATTGTAAGTTGTAGTGGGTGGTCCGAGACGAGAGGTGCAAAAGGTAAAGATTAGCGATGCAAGAGTGCTTTCTGGGCAGTGTGTGCTAGCAGCAGTGCTAGTACTTACGTGTAGTGCCAGCAGGTGCGAGGCCGCACCTCGAGATCTCCGAGCATGGGCGGCAGAGCGCCGTGTGAGGTTGAAGGAAGGGCGACTTGGCATTTTCGAGCATTGCGGGATGCGTGAGCATGCGATCTTACTAAGACAGGAAATTACTAAGTACCTTATGTACGTACCGGTACCTACTTGTTACGTACCTTATTTGGTTAGCTCAAAGCTGGGCCACACGACTTGGCCACAAATGTCTGCCTATCAAAACGTCATCAGCCAACGCACTAGCCTCCAAAATAGACGCTACCGGACGTTCTGTCGTATCATTGGCCACCAGCAGTTCGAAGTGTGGCTTGCGCCTGCGAGGAGGGAACTTTGTGTTGGGTGCCTCCACTGCCCCGTCCTCTTTTTCTTTTTCTTCTTCATCTTCTTCTTCACATCTCCCCGTCTTAGCATTCAGCACACCAGGGCCTCCCATGTCACATTGATGCGGACACACCCCCTTTCCTCTCCTCACTCTGCCTCTGTCCCGTGTTCTAGGATCGTAGATCGACCTTCTCTATTTGGCTCTTGGTTATGCCGTACGCGTGGCTCACCGAAACCAGATAACCGACCTAGTTGCTGGGTGCAAAGCAGAGGGGAGAGAGAGAGAGAGAGAGAGAGAGAGAGAGAGAGAGAGAGAGAGTCACTGAAGACACACGACCCGTGAAGCGCTCTCGACCACCGGCTGACTCTGGCAGGGCCGTTGACCGCTCCCTGCATAGTAACAACCGACTAGGACAAGCGTGACGTCGACCTGCCCCCAAACATCTCGTCTCGTCTCGTCTCGTCTCCAAGAGTCTTCCAAGACCCTAACTCAACAACACGAGCCACCCATTCTCACCCAGAAACGTCCGAATGTCTTCCCCGACATGCATTCGTTCTCCTCCGTGCCGTGTCGAATCTCCGAGTCCTGGGGTTCTGGGGTTCTGGCTTGTTGTTTTCTTGCTTTTCTTGCTTCGGCTCGGCTACGCTCAAGCTGGCGATAGTCAAGGCATTGTTCGACTGTCCAGGCATGTCATGTCCGATGTATTCTCTCCCGTCAGATGCCCTTTGGGAGTGTTCGAAGGACGAACTGCCCTCTCCATCAGACCCGCTGATAGTATTCACCATATTCATTTGACGGTCCGATGTGTTTCCAGTTATTTAGGGCAGCCAGCCGAGTGGCTGAGTGCTCAACCGCCGCTCACTGCTCTACGGATACGTTGTTCGCTTAACCAAAGGATCATGAGCACTAAGGCAGTGTTCATCTCTGGCTCGTCTTATCCATACAATCCGAATACTTGCGTCTCGTTTCTGCCACGCGGCGGCGCGGGACCTCGTGTTTCTGGGTCGTTTCGTTTCCGGCCTGTTGGGAGAAGAGATTCCCAGGGTTTACTCAGTGCTTCGTCCAATGACTGCACTGCGTCGACATGCGGAGGATCATCACTGACCTGTCGGCCGGCGGCATTCACCCCAGTCTCGCGACAGGGGTCCATTGGATCCCGATGCCTGTACATGTCATGGCAGGGCGTGTAGGTATATCAACTTCAACCGCTACACCCCCCCTCTCTCCCCCGCGGTCACGGCGTTGCATCGACAATCTTCTCGAAGCCACACCAGAGCCGGCCAAGATCCGCGTGGGCCTTTGCACCGTCAGAGCGCACCGGCCTTGTCCGAGCCTCACATCCTTCAACTTGTAAACCGTCCTTTCGAAGGGCATGGGAAAATCACTGTCATATCACCACCTCTCCTGGTATATAACCTCGTGGTCGACCCCAGCTTTATCGTGCAGACTTCAGGATCATCACCAACCAACTTCTCCCCCTCCCCCTTCCACTCCACTCCTCACTTGTCTGCCTCCTCCATCTCTTTCTCCCTACCATTCCTAATCATGGGCCTCAAGTGGTTCATGACCAGCCTCGTGGCTGGCTTGATGGCCAGCACCGTCGTTGCCAACCCTCTTTCCAGCAGGACCAGCACCACCCGACATAAGAAGCGCAGCTGCGTCAAGCCCTGCTTCAACAGCCCCGAGGATAGGTCGTGCTGGACACCCGGCTGGGATATTCACACCAACTTCGAGGAAGAAGTTCCAATTACTAATGTCACCAGGACTGTAAGTAGCCGCTCATGTTTCCTATTCCGTTTGCCGGGCATCAGTGCATGGATTCCGCACAACGTACGTGTTTTCTGACCGGGCTTTAGTATAACCTGAGCATTACCAACGTCACCAGCTGGGACGGCGCCGATGGTGTCGCCAAGCCTGTCATGCTCATCAACGGCGGATTTCCTGGCCCGACCATCGAAGCGGACTGGGGCGACGAAGTCGAGATTCACGTCACCAACAACCTTCAGCATAACGGGTACGCCGCTTCCCTGAATCCCCTACCCCCTTTCGCCCCTCCCAATGCTTCCCCTGACTAACTTGACCCAGTACTTCGCTTCACTGGCATGGCATTTGGCAGAAATATACCAACACCATGGACGGCGCCAACGGCTGCACCGAGTGCCCTATCCCCCCCGGCACTACCAGGACCTACAAATTCCTGATGCGCCAATACGGCACGGGCTGGTACCACTCTCACTTCAGCGCTCAGTACGGTAACGGCGTGGTGGGCATGCTCAAGATCAACGGCCCCGCCTCGGCGAACTATGATGTCGACCTTGGCCCCTACCCCATCACCGACTGGTACTACGACACCGCCGACCGTCTCGAGCGGGCCTCTCAGTTCAGCGACCACGGACCTCCCCCCGACAGCGACAACGTCCTTTTCAACGGCACCCACGTCAATGCCGAGGGTGGCGGTCGGTACGCCAAGACGGTTCTGACCCCGGGCAAGAAGCATCTCCTCCGCCTGGTCAACCCCTCCGTCGACAACACCTTCACCCTGTCTCTCGTAGGCCACAAGTTCACCGTCATTGCCGCCGACTTCGTCCCCATCGAGCCCGTCGAGAAGGACACTCTCTTCATGACCACCGGCCAGCGTTACGACGTCATCATCGAGGCTGACCAGGAGATTGGCAACTACTGGTTCAACGCCACCCTGGCCTCCAGCGGCATGTGCGGCACCACCGTCATCGACCACCCGGCCGCCATCTTCAGCTACGAGGGGGCCCCCGAGGACGAGCTCCCCACCGACCCCGGCGCCCCGGTCGACGCGGGCTGCGCCGACGAGACCGACCTCGTGCCCGTGGTGCCCAAGAGCGCGCCCCGCGACGACTTCCTCGCGCACAAGAACTACCTCGACGTCGCCGTGACGCTGCAACCCTACGGCGAGAAGTCGGTCTACCGGTGGAAGATAAACGACTCGGACATCGACATCGAGTGGGGGAGGCCCATCCTGGAATACGTGCGCGAGGGCAACTACTCGTGGCCCCGCCAGGCCAACGTCATCGAGGTCGAAGAAGCCAACGTGTGGACCTGGTGGATCATCGAGAACGGCAGCCGCATGCCGCACCCGATGCACCTGCACGGCCACGACACCATGCTCCTCGGCGTGGGCGCCGGCGAGTTCGACCCGGCCAACCACACTGACCTCCTCAACTTCGACAACCCGACGCGCCGCGACGTGGTGCAGATGCCGGGGAGCAGCTGGATCGCCATCGCCTGGAGGACGGATAACCCGGGCGTGCACCTTATGCACTGCCACATCGCCTGGCACGTCTCCCAGGGCCTCAGCGTGCAGTTCCTGGAGCGCTCCTCGGAGATTGCGCAGACTGTCGACCTTCACGAGATTGAGCCCAACTGCGCGGCCTGGCGCGAGTACGAGGCGACGGCCGTCTACCCAAAGCACGACTCTGGCTTGTAAAGCGACACGTCCACACGTCATTACCACCGGTATGAGCCGGCTGTTACTATTACGACCTTTTTTCTTTTTTTTCTTCTCTTTTTTCTCTTTTTTCTCCTTTTTTCCCTTCTTCTTTTTCTTCCTCCATTCCATTCCCATTTTTTATAGACATGACGAACTTTTCAGCAAGACGATACACCGTCTTAGAGCCTTATTTGGCAACCGAGCGTGGGATTATATGCATCATAGAACGATAGACGGCACCTTTTTTTTTTTTTTTTTTTCCTTTTTTTTTCTTTCCTTTTTTTTTCTTTCCTTTTTTTTTTCCTCACCTTTTTGGTCGAGACGATTCGACGTTGCATAGCATTTGCATGGCATGGCGAGAGGATTGGGACGACTTGGAATTTAGACTTGGGCACATGAAGACAGGCATGAGCCCGGGGGCACTTGGGGTTCCCATTTACCTCTAATATTATCAAAGTTTACAGAGCTGTATACCCATACAGATGAAAATATACTTACTTCTCCATCCACGCCCCTTGGGCCGACAATAGTGAAGCTGAAGCTCTGTGATCGGGCTTGGAACGACGGCGACGGAGAATTTCCCAGCCACTCCCATAAATAGAACCGGGGAAAGCCACCAATCAATGTGCGAGTAAGCCGTTGGGGCCCCGCTTTCCAGCCGCTTGTCTCCCACCGTGCCGGGATTACCCCTGCGCCACAGCGGATCATCACCCGTAGGGCTGGCTGGCTACACCCCCCACCACCAGAAAGCTCCTAAACACACCCCCATGTCCCGAGTGCTGACGGACGGCTTCGGGGGTGCCTACGGGGTGGCGATTTCGTCAAAGATGATGAATATCTGGGTATCAGGTAAAGTGTTTGTGAAGAGGAGGCCATGCATCATATAACTCTGCCAAATTGCCCCGACTTGGCTGTTTCATGGAAATAGGCATTATGATGTTTTAGGCAGCTCGCTTCCTCGGTGGAGCGACGTTCACCGATGCTCCGACCATGCATAACTACGAACTTGATTCAAGGCGGGTGGGTTTGACAAGCCGGAATTTAGATGCACTTGAAGAATCTATGCAGTGGGTACGCCTGCCGTACGGCGTTTCATACTTGACTATGAGATCCATGTATGATGTAATACAAACCAATGCACTTTACAAGTAGCTCCAGATGAATACGATACGTATTCCCCAGGCCAGCCTTTACTATTGTTGCAAGGTACGCTGGAAAACGTCCAATGCGGGATCTCCAAGTCCAATGTTACCAGCAGTAATCTAATTATTGAGTAAAACATGGCCCTAGTCCGATTTCATCGCCCGAGCGTGGGCCAGAATCGAGCTATCGGATGCACTCTCATTCCATTCGGCGGCGAAAATTCGTGGCTGCAAATGGGTACCCTCACGATCCCCATGTAATAGCCATTGCCTTGAATACCTTACAATCGTTCTTGTGCCCGCCCTCACCCCAGTCTTTTTTCTGACAAGCCTAAGCAGACACAGAGGAAAGGAAGACATGTCAGAAATACGACCAAAATAAACCCACAGACTCTTCTCGTGGTTCTCCTTATCCCGGAAGAGGACAAAGTAGCATGTGTGTTAGATGGGGGCTCACTTACCTTATTGCAGTATCGAACCCACTTACAGCCCGTACACCTCATGAGTTTCCCGCCCCCTTCTCCCTCAGTCGCACCGCAGCTCACACACTCCTCCGCCTCGGCGGCGCCGTCCCCATCCCCATCCCCATCACGGCCCCCTTGCCGCGCCTCAACCTCATTCAACTGCGCCCCCACTTCGAAAACCCGCCCAAGCGACGCGGGGAGGTAATGCACGCCCGTGCCGCGGCCCTGGGGCACGCGGACGAAACCCCGCTTCCCCTCTGCGGACGGCGCAACGCGCGCAGCCCCCGGCACGACGACGGTCCACCCGGCCTTGACGGGACGGAGATCGACGCCGCGGTCCTCGAACGTGATGGCGAAGTCGGTGCCTTGGCGGTCCGTAACCACGAGAGTCGGCTTCGTGATGGTCATGTTCTGCTTCACCTGCGCGAGGAGGAAGTGCGTGCTCGTCGTTGTCGTGGACGAGTATGACGGCGGAGGGGCTGTTTGGGGTGTTGGCGATGTCGGGTGCGAGGATGAGGATGGTGGGGGGTTCGATTCGGCGTAGGAAGGGAGGTCGGTTGAAGATGGTGACGGCGAAGATGACTGGCCGGGAGCATCGGATTCAAGAGGTAATGAGACGAACGGGGGGAAGAGGGTTGTTGATGTGAAGTCGGGGAGGGGCATGGTGGGCTGTGGAGGCGGGACCGAATCGGGTAGCTCTAAGACTGTTGAGGCAGAATAAGGCTTTGGGGACTTTGACAAAGGAGGAAGAATCAGTTGATCTGAGATACCGTGATACCTGTACACAACACGAAATATCCCTCCTCGACGACGTTACAGTGGTACACAATGTTTCACTCCACATCGTGGGTTGGTCCCACGTGAGGGACCGTCGGCTCGGACCGGTCGAATCAGAGGATCCATGTCGATAAGCGTGTTGACTGTTATCTCTTATCGAGTACCTTAGCTAATCCACAGACCAATTGCTTATCGATATCAATTCTTATCTGTACGGATACCAGTTGCGGAAGCGAAAAAAAAAGAGAAGAAAAAAATCCCACCTCTTCATAGCTTCTGAGGGTCAAGTGCAAGAGGTTTCGCGAAAAGCCACTCTGATCCCCAGCAATTCACCGAGCCAACACCACATTCCAAACATGTCCAGCTCAGATTCTGAACGGCCGTCCGAGCCAATGTCGCCAGACACCACCTCGGCGTCCAAGAAACGCAAGGCAGAGCTGGAAGAACTCGAAGTCGACCTAAAGGCACCAGAACCGCCCTCCAAGCGCGCCCGCCGCGCGCTCAAGAAGGGCAAGACCCTACCGCCCAAACCGACCAGCGACGACGAAAACGAAGGGTCCAAATCCAAGAGCAAGGACGGCGCCTCAGACTCCGAGGCGGAGCAAAACGGGGAACCGAAGACGAAGAAGAAGACGACGACGACGACGACGAAGAAGAAGGATGCCGCGGCGACCCGCTCCGAACACGGCGTATGGGTAGGCAACCTCCCCTTCGACGCCACCCCCGCCGAAATGCAAAAGTGGCTCGTCGACAACGCCGGCGGCGCCATCACCGCAGAGTCCATCACGCGGGTCCACATGCCCACGACGACCAAGCACGTCGGCTGGCAAGGCACCAAGACGAACAAGGGGTTCGCGTACGTGGACTTTACCGACGTGGGCTCCAAAGTCGCCGCCATCGCCCTCACGGAGAACGAGCTGCGGCATCGCAAGCTCCTCATCAAGGACGCCTCCTCGTACGAAGGGCGGCCCAAGAAGGAGGCGAACGCCGACGGTGGTGGCGACCAGAAAAACCCGCCCCAGGCGAAGAAACCGACCAGCCGGAAGATCTTCGTCGGGAACCTGGGCTTCGCTACCACGGAGGAAGACGTCCGTTCTAATTTTGAAAAGTGCGGCGACATCGACTGGGTCAAGATCGCGACGTTTGAGGACTCGGGCAAGTGCAAGGGGTACGGATGGGTCATGTTCCGCGAGCCGGAGGCGGCCGAGTGGGCTGTCAAGGGGTTCGTGAAGATCAAGGAGGAGACGGAGACGGAGGATGACTTTGTTACCAAGGACGCGGATGATGATAATGAGGAGGAGGAAAAAGAAGAAGAAGAAGAAGAAGAATATGGAAAGGAAGAGAAAGAGAAAGAGGAAGAGGAAGGTGACGACAAGGCAAAAAAGGAAAAGAAGGGCAAGGAGAACAAGAAGCAGCCCAAGATGAGGAAGTGGTGGGTCAACCGCATCATGGGACGCAACTTGAAGATCGAGCTGGCCGAGGACGACCAGACGCGGTACAAGAAGCGTTATGGCAAGGACGCTGTGAAGCGACCGCAGCAGAAGACGGGGAAGCAACAGTCGGCGCAGGCTACGAATGGGCATGCTGGCGATGTCGAGCCTGAGCACAAGGCCAAGACAAGACCGGCACCAGCCAGGGAGCTCAAGGTGCAGGAAGATCTGATGGTGGCACGGTTGACGGGTACTGCGGCCAAGCCTACAGGAACGAAAATCACTTTCGACTGAACAGGGCACAAAAAAACGCATGGAAGCGATTCTTTTCTCTGTCCTTGGCCTTGGCGTCTCATTTCATATTTCAAGCTTTCTCCGTCCCATACCAGCCACAGAAATTTAAGTGTGACCCAATACCATAAAAAAAAAAAGAATCAGCTCTTTTTCCACCCAAGATCAAAGGTGTCCAATCTAGCTATCCATCAGCTGTGTGTCATCATTTTAGTACCGCGCAAGGATCCACTGTCGACGGTCTTCCGCCGACAGTGTCGCGAGAAAGCTAATCTCCGCCTCCTTGATTGCGGCATATCTTTCCACCAGCTCCTCTCCTAACAGCGCTGCCAGTTCTTCGTCCCGCCCCAGCTCGCCGAGTGCCACCTCCAGGGAAGGCGGCAGCAATCTCTCGACGTTGAGTTCTGCTCGATCGTTGTCCGTCAGGGTGGCAGGGTCGACCTCGCAATCTCCCCATACGAGACGCTCCTCGTCCTGTACGCCCAGCAAGCCCGCACCCAGGACGGCAGACAGAGCAAGGTAAGGGTTGGCCAAGCCGTCGATGCACTTGACCTCCCAATGACTCCCCTCGACCTTGCGCAGGGGCGTCTCGCGGTTCTGCGTACCCCATGCGACCCAACGGCCGCCGGCCCACGTGCTGTCTCGGAGCCGATCGTAGCTCGCCGGGTTGCTGTATGTGAAGGCGCAGACGGCCGGGAGATGACGCAGGATGCCGGCGTAGAAGGGTTCGTACGTCTCCGGACGGTCCCCTCCGGGGGAAGTTATGGAAATGTGGGCGTGGGAGGCGTTGCCGCAGGTGGTGGCGAAGGGCTTCGGGTGGAGAGACATTCTCACGCCTGCTTGATTGGCGAAGCCCGAGATGACGTTGCGGGCATGGATGAGGGTATCGACGGCCTGAAGAGGCGGATAGCTGGGTAGGACGATCTCAAATTGGCCAGGGGCGCTCTCCGGGTGGAACTGCTCGACAAGAATGCCCTGGTCGGCGAGGGCTGCGATGGCGGGCTCGATGACCTGCTCGACGAGTGGGTGGTCCATCATCCGGGAGACGGACCAGGCGTGGCCGTCGTTGTCGATCACGGCGTAGGTCTGCTGGGCCGTGACATCCTCCCTCACCCGCTGGAAGAGCACGAGCTCAATCTCAAAGCCCACTTGGAAGGTTAGACGTTGCCGAGAGGCCAGGTCGAGGAGGCGCTGTAAGAGCGAACGCGGGCACAGAGGTACGTGTGAACCGTCTTGCTCGCGGAAGTCACCGAAGGTGGTTACGTGTCGGGGACTGGGTCCCACGACCAAGGATGAGAAGTCGGGATGGAGACGGTATTCCCCAGTGGCCGCAACGCCCGGGATAATGACATCGTTCTGAAGAAGGCCTAGCGACGCCTTGGTGATGCCGACGGAGAAGTTATCGTCTTCTCGTAGGTCGGACAAGACGCGTTGTAAGGGGATGGCTCGCAACCTCGGCATGGCGGTGAGGTCGTTCCAGTAGATGCGGAGGAAATACGGCTCAGGCTTCCCTTCAAGGAAGGCTTCCAGGGTTTCCAGATCGCTGGCGCCGGTGGTATTTCGGAGGTGGAGGTGGTTGCCGGAATCATCGAGTGACCGCAGGGGCAGGCCGAGACTGTAAAGATGGTTGGCGTTGAGGAAGAGAACACGGCGGACGAGCTCGCTAGCCTCGTGCCAAGTGATGTGATGTTTACGAGCGTATTCACCCAGGACCTTTCCCAAAGCCTCCCTGATCTGGAGAACGGCCAACAAGTAGGTCTCGGGGAAATAGTGACCGTCGGTACTCCACAGAATCTTGGACCAGGGACAGAGCTCGAGGATTTGACGGAGGGCGGTCTCCTGGCCATCTTGGCTCAGACAGGGGAAGATCTCGCCAATATCGGCATAGACGTTGGCATAGACAGAGGCAAGATAGCCTGCCTCACGGGTATAAGGGTAGCTCGCGTGGAGGAGAACAATAGGGACGGTGGGATACTCCCGGATGAAGTCTTGCAGGTGGGCGGGCGAAGCTTTCGAGAGGGTAATGTCGTTATCGCCTAGGCCGGTATGGAACTGGATGGGTTTCTTGTGTAGGCCCTCGGCGTTCTGGATAATGGAAGCCAGTCTGTGGACGAGAAACTCGTTGAGACCGCGGTGTTCGAGCCGGGTGAATTCCTTGTCGGTGCCCTGGGTGTGGGTACGGTAGATGTTGTCAAAGTCGGCCCTGGCAGCGGCGGCATCGGGCTTGCGAGATATGGCGAGACCCGTGCGGTAGCAGATGACGGACTTGAAGGCGACGATTTCTGGTTTCGAGATGGCCCTCAGAATGGTCATGTCGAACTCCTCGATGACCTCATCGAAGGCCTTGGCCACGTCCTCGGTGGTCTTCCGACCAGAGACCTGCTCGGGACAGTGGGCGTTGATGATGTCGGCGGCGATCTTCTCAAGGCGTAAAACCCTCGTGGCCGGGGTCGGGACGAGGCCATCAAAGTAGTCGTACGGGTAAAGCTCGTACTCATCGTCGCTCGGTACGAGGCCGTCATCGACCAAGATGGTCTCGATGCCGGCCAGGCATTGGCGGACCCATTGGTCGTAGTCATGAAGGCGTCTCTGCTCAATGGCGTTCACTACGGACTCCCAGGTCGGGGCGCATTGGAGGACCTTGGCCAGCTGCTTGACGGCGCGGAGATGAGAGAGACTGGTGAGGGAGGCATGAATAGCGTCCCCATTCGCCTCGGTGGTAATGGAGAGCAGGGGATAGCGGGGGACGGAGTCTGGTTGTAAGATGGGATGAGCATGGTGGTCGATGATTGGGGTCGTCTGTATGGTATGAGAGAGGAGGGCCTGGCCGGTAAGTTTCGTGGACGACGACATGGTGAATTTCTGCTGTTGTTGCTGGTGCTGTTATTAACCTACGGTAAGGTAAGGGAGGAGAGAAAGATTGGACAACATGTGGACGAGGCGAGAAGGTGAGTCAAAGGCGGCGGAAGTCGTGTGTCACTGACGAGGAGAGCAAGTTACTCCCTTCACTCGTATTCCTCAAGTAAGGTACGGAGTACGTGTTGCTTGAAGACCCAAGTCAACGGTACACACGCTCCTATATGGGTACCTTAAGGTACCTTACCTTTGGTGAAAGCAGGAGGACTGTAAAGACAGACCGAAAACTGGAAAAATCGGAACAAGCAAATATTTTGTACAAGGTTTTGATTACGACCATGACACGACACGATAGGTCGGTTCCTCCTACCGTAAGCGTGGCTGGCATAGTGGTACTACAGAGGTCTTTCCGATAGTTTGTATCACAGGGTCCATCGTCCCTTCCCCGCCCTCTTGCACGTCTTAATGAGTATGTGTACTCATACATCCTTCGGCATTGAGGAATATATCGAGAAGCAAGTTCGTATGACGAGCCATGTACTCGTAAAATTGGAGAAAGAAAGCGCGACCCAACCTATACCGGTAGTGGAAAGACACACCGTGTATATTGAAATCGCACTATGCTTAACACGGTACTAAGATGTCACTTGTCTTTCCTCGCTCTTTTTCGCTCTCTGCTCAACCGCAACGCGCATTACCACATCACCACATCACCGCATTCATCACTCTAGCACAACGCGTCCCCAAATCAAAACTTGTCCACCATTACCCTTCACTGGACAAAAGTCTTGTTGAAATTGAACCATTGGCGTTAATTTTTCAATATTTGAAACCCACCCGCAACCAATTTGCCATCAGACCGTCGTCAAAGACTTGTCCTCAGCACCGTTACAGAACATGTCTCCTCGGAACACATTCCCCAGAGACGCGAGGAGTCCCAGATACAACTTCAAGCGGGGAGTCGTACAGCCAGAGATTTACAGATTCAAAGTCAGATAAGCCTTGTTGAATCACATTCATCACGAATGCCGACTTCAGATGCACGTAGGAAAATAATTCGAACCAGGAACCAGCCCAGGCGTCCCGGAAACCAGGTGAAGAGAGATGCATTCGGAGCGCAGATTCAAAACTCGAAAGAAGAAGCCAGAAGACAACCTATACCATGGACCCAGACTTTTAAACCAAGGAAATGTACAAAAAGGAAACACCATAGACGCCCGACGAGAAGTACAATCTCTACGACTCCACACGCATCATCGTCACAATTATCATCAACCACCACCACACGTCTTTCCAAACGCCTTCACATCTCACTCACTTCCTCGCCTGTACCTTCCTGGCAATCGACATGCCAGCTCCCGCAAACGTCGCCCCGCCTAGAATCTCAAACACCGGCATGTCAACGTCGAACACCTTACCCACCCAGTTGCGGACGTCGATGGCCGAGAGCGAGTCGAGCCCGTACGAGTGCATCGGGTTCTGCAAATCCAAGTTCTCCTCCGCCGTCCCCAGCAGCGCAGACACCCGCTGCGCCAGCGCCTCGCTTGCCACCTCTGCAGCCTCGGCGAGCGATCCCGCCGCCGCCAGCCGCGCCGCCGCATCCACCGTCTTGCCCTTCCCGTTGCCGCTTCCGCTGGCCTCTTCGCCGTCCTTGGCAGTCACCGGGAAGTGGTGCATGTGTCCCCAGAACGGCTGGTACATGGTAGCATGCACCTCCGCCGCGTGTTTCCAGTGCGTCAGTGGCCGGATGCCCACCACCGCCTGGCACCCGTAGTCATTGAGAGACACCTTGTTCGCCGTCGCCGGATCGCACGCCACCTCCATCAGCGCGCACACGTCCTTGACGTACGTGAGTGCGTACTTCTCCGACTTGAGCACGCTCGCGATGTGCACCTTTTGTCGCTGCGCTTCCACCAGGTATCCCGCGTCAGGGATGGCTCCCAGGTTCAGAGCAACCGCGTGCTCGCCTCGCTGCACCCGGTAGTGGGCCAGCGCGTCTTCGTATGTGTTGCCCGCGTTGTACGCCGTCAACGAACCGCTCCCCATGATCCCCATCATCGATGACGTGAACACGAAAAAGTCGAGATCCCGGGGCAATTCCGTGTGTAGGTTCCATGATCCCTTGACCTTGGGATCTATCGTCACCTTCCAGTCGTTATAGCTCATTTGTTGGAAGATGCGTTCCTATAACCAACCGCTCTTGTTAGCTTTTTTTTTGTCTCTCATTTTATGTGACACACGCCGGGGCACATACCGTCATGACCATGGAGGCTTGGATGCAACCCTTGATAGGGGGCACCCTCTTAGCGCAGTCGTCCAGCACCGATCGCAACACCGCCTTGTCCGTGATATCACAGGGGGGCGCTTCGACGTGAACCCCTTCCCCTTCAAGCTTAGCCAGCAGTTCTTTGGCCTCCTCTGTTCGCGGCCCGGATCGAGAGAGTAGGATGATATATCCAGCTCCACGGCGCGCGAGCCATCGTGCCAGTGATCTGCCCAGACCTCCCAGACCTCCCGCCACAACATACGTAGCATTGGGATCAAGCGCGTATTTGGCCTGAGCTGCTATCCGGATCTTTACACGCAATTATCTTTTGTTAGCAAAATGTTCTGTTGAATCTGAGTGGATGATAAAACGTTGGGGCCTCCCTTACATCGATGGTGTGCTCCCCATTCAAATTGACCACAATAGTCTCCTTTTCGTCGGCAGACTGCAGGCGGGAATACGCGCTCGAAAGCTCCGATGCCGGGAATTCGGTAACATGTCGCCGCAGGTTCTCGAGTCCCGAACCAATCGCCGTGCTCACCGCATACCCCAGAGCATCCGCTGTGGCTGTGTGAGCACCGGCTTGCATAATCGATAGGGAAATGCTGGCCGGCACGCTGTGCACCTGCTGGGCGTTGCCCGATGACGACGTTACCGATCCTGCGCGCAGCACGATAAACCGGCCACCCGAGCGCACGCTCTTCACAGACAGCGAGGATGTGACGTCCGTATAAGGACACAAAACCATGTCGAACTTTTGCTTCCATTGGGACGCCATCATTGACGGGCCCTCGAACCACGATTTGGGAAGAACCTTCTCCTGTGAGATCCCTAGGTTCTCTGTAATCCAGGCGTTATCGGTTTCGTTGGAGGCTGTTACCCAGACATCGGCGACTCCTTCGTCCGCGAGAAGTCGGAGAGCCGCCTGTCCGATGGGGCTGGCGCCGTCGTGGACCAAGATGACGTCCCTGCGCCTGACGCGCCCGACGTCCACCAATGCATGGTACGCGGCCGCTGCCGGGCCGACGACTGCGCAGGCGTCTGCGAAGGAAACTTCGTCGGGAAGCGCGGTCACCGCCTGCGAAGACACGCGGACATGAGACCGGAATGACCCTGCTTGCGCTGCGACAACGCGATCCCCGGCACGGACCGTAGCTGCGGGGCCGGCGCGAAGGACAACGCCCGAGAAATAGTCGCCAAATGTCGGCTCTTCTTCATGGCCCAGAGCCGCCACACGATCACGGTACCGAAGCGCAACAGCCTTGACTGCAATTTCGACTGCATCGCCCTCAAGCTCTTCCTCGGATACAGTGGTGTCTTCTTCGTAGTGAGGGGCGTTCTCGAGTCCAGGTACGGAGGTATTGGAAAAGACGAACCGAGTCTGATCTAGCCTCGTGGAGATGACCTCGTAGGGCATGAGTCTCGACTCCATGTCTGCTTTGAGATACTGTGCCTCTACGAGGCGCCGCGTGTGCAAGCGGCCGTCCGTCTCCACGTAGTCTTGCTCGTAGTTCTCCAGGGGCGGTCTGGACGCCATCTCGCATGCCACTTTTACCAAATGCGACACCTTCTTATCGGTGTTGGAGTCTGCGAGATCCAGAGCCACGGTAACAAGCTGGAGTTCGTAGTACTCGAAACGCAACGTCCGTGCGAGGCCATCGAGCAGTCCGTGATCGGGGGACGCGTCTGGGCCCCCGCCTGCGGATACCCAGAGCAGGCGCCGGCATGTCCGCACTAGGGTCTGTACGTGGGCCCATGACGTTTCGTCGAAGGACCCAACGAAAGAAGACTCCCCATAGTCGAGCAGAACAATGACGAGGTCATCATCCGTATGCTCGGCGGAAGCTGCAGCCCCGAGGTCGGTCACCTTGGGTTTCGTGCCGAGGACATGCTCCAATGTCGTCAGAGCTTCTGCGAGCGACTGCTGCGTCGAGGAGCTTGGGTCGACGATAATGGTGACTTCACGGCTCAGCTGAGGCCGTGCATTAATCGGCGTGGCCTCATCTGGCGTTGCCGTAGACACGAGACATCCCAAGTGATGCGCCACCTCGTCGTCAAAGTCCCGGAACACCATATCCGTTCCGGAGAAGCCGCTGGCTGCCAGAATGGCGTGCCACTCGTCGGCGCTCAAGTTGGGCGAAAGGGGGCGCTCGCTCTCATCTGCCAACCACCATCCCGGGAACAGTCCAAAGATGAAGCCGGCAGTCCACCCATCCGGCCGGAGGAGCTCGTGCATGATCAGCTTACCGCCGGGCTTCAGGGCTTTGCGGACGTTGCGCAGTGTTTCGCTTAGATTGGACGTGACGTGGAGTACATTGTCGGCCACGACGACATCGTACGTCCCTTCTTCGTATCCCTGCTCGACAATTTCCCGTTCGATGTTCAGGGTCCCGAACGTCATCTGAGCCTGGAACCGGCCGAACTCCTCCCGCGCCTTTTCCAGGAAGGCGGAAGACACATCGGTAAAATCGTACCGGCTGCAGCGAAGAGAGGTCGTCGAGTCTGCTGGGCCCGAGGCGAGCGCGCGGATGAACTTTCGGGTCGCCGAGGCGGTTCCGCCTCCCACTTCAAGGATCTTCATCCCAGGGGTCTGGTGAGCCAACAAGTCCATGTAGCTCGCCGCTTCGGCGTTGTCTCTGTATGTGGCCAACTCGGCGTAGTACTCCTTGAGCTGGCCTGTGTGCATCAGCAGCTCCAGGGCACTGGCTTCTCCCCTGAGCAGAGCCCCTAGGTTGGTGGCGACCGTCGAGTACAGACGTCCGACGTGGTTCGTTTTGGCTAGGCGCTCGGCGAGCTCGTCGAAAGACTGACGCGCCCTGGAGATGGGAGATTCGGGGTCGTCCCAGTTCCGATCCCGGCGGGCATTGGCAAGGTGGTGCTGTGCCCAAGCCCAGTACCGCTTCTTCCATGGCTCCTGGCCTTCAAAGATGCTAGGATCCGTGGAGCTCGTCAGTTGATCGAGGGCTGCCAGTGCGAGCAGCTCCAGGTCACTGTAGAGATCCGAGAAGTCTTGCTGAATGGGGTGCAGGCTGTCGAGGTAAGAGACGGTCTCTTCCGGAATCAGTTTGTTGAGGGCCACCTTAGAGTCAACGTTCATGCAGAACTGCTTAGGATCCGGGAGATTCGACACCTCGGGGGGCGGCGGCGGTACCGAAGTGACGTTGGTGATTTCAATATCTTCGTACCAAAGCCTCACTTGGTCCGAGGAAGGGCTGGCCAAGGCACCACCATCGAAGGTGAACCCACGCTTCGTGGAGCCGGTGATATTCAAGCACGCCGTCACCGATTCGGTCTCGGGGGCGCTGAGACCGACGTCCGAGACCCAGAGGCTGCCGATGCGCGTGGGGATGCACGTAGCCATGGGCTGAGTCCCTCCGGCCGTGAAGCCGGTGAAGCAGAGATGGAGGATACAATCCAACGAGGCGGGATGGATGACATGCGGTTCAGTGGTCGAGGCATAGAGGTTCACCTCAGCCGCGGCCTGCTTCGTCTGTCCGTTGCAACGCTGTTTCTGGGCAGCTTGGAAGACGGGGCCGTACCCGTAGCCGGACTCTTTCAAAAAGCCGTACATGTAGTCTGCGTCTACGGGCGTGTCGCACTGCGAGAGAATACCGGCGAACTTGGTGGCAATTTCTCGACGCTGTGCCACGGCTTTCGACTTTTGCCAGTCGTCTTCTGACGTCTTGTTCAGTTCCACCGAGATGAAGCCACGGCAGTTGAGTCTCCAGTCGTCAATGTTGGCGTAGTAGCTGCGGATGACAAACTCGAATGCCGGCTCCCCTTGGCTTGAAGGCTGGATTGCGCGCAGGGAGGTCTGGATTTCGAGGACGCCGGCGCTCGTAGTCAAATCCATGGGGCCCTCGATGTGCACATCACGGAGCGTGTAGCCGGTGACGTCGCCTCCGGCTTCGACGGCGAGTTGTTTGGCTGCTTCGATGGCCATGACCAGCATGCCGGTTCCGGGGTACAGGATGGTGCCGTTGACGACGTGCTGGTCAGCCCAAGGCATCTCCGTGAGACGGATGAAGTGCCGCCATCGAGCGTCGGCCGCGTTCCAGTCCCTGGATCGGACACCGAGGAGCTCCGAAGGCGCATGGGCTCTGAGCCTGTAATTCCGGCTGAGACGGCTCTCGTGCCAGTGCCGCTGGGAGTGGTCAAAGGGGTATTGAGGCAAGTCGACGAGCATGGACCGCGAGGCCTTGTCTTCGCCCTCTGGTTCGTTGACGGCCCTGAGGTTTAGTGCGAGACCCATGCAGTGCAGGTCGCCGACGACACGTAAGACGGACTCGGTGGCCGGCTGGCCCCTCCGCAGGACGGAGCTGTAACCGATGGACTTCCCTCGAGGGCTCGCACGGAGGATGTCTCGAAGCGGTCCTTGGAGTGCTGCGTGCGGCCCGACCTCGACCAGGTGGTCGACAACGGAAGCGAAGACGTGGCTTCTGTCTATCTTCTTGGCGAGATCGGCCTGCGACTGAGCACACATGACGGTGACGGCCTGGGAGAACCGGACCGGCGAGGTCATGTTCAGAGCCCAGTAAGACGGCTCCCTGAGACGATCTCCGAGGATTCGCTCGCCCGTCACGCTTGAGATCATGGGGACAGGAGACTTGAGGTGGACGTCGTCCTCGGGCCGTAACAGCGTCCCCATCATAGACGTGTACTTGGACGCGATGGCCTCCATCTGTCGTGAATGATAAGCCAGAGCCACGCGAAGTTTGCGTGCAAAGATGTTCTTCTCGTCCAGTTGTGTCTTGAGCTGGTCGATGAGGCTGTCTTCGCCGGAGATGGTCACGTTGACGGGGCTATTGATACAGGCGATGGAAAGACCAAAGCCAGAAGCACGCTGGTCGAGGGGAGAAATGAGCTCTCTGGCTTCGGCCTCCGGCAGGCCTACGGACATCATTGCTCCCAGGGGCTGAGAGCCCGAAGCCTCGGCTAGCTCTGCGGAACAGAGACCCCTGAAATAGGCTACTTTCCAGGCCGATTCGCGAGATAAGGCTCCCGAGGCGTAGCTGCGGTTATGTTAGCGACAAGCCCGAGCAAGTGTACGAGAAAGGGAGAAAGAAAGTGACGTGATTTTATACGTACGCAGCCGCGATCTCACCCGAGGAATGTCCCACCGCAGCAGAAGGCCGGACCCCGAACTTCCGTAGGAGATTCACGAGAGCTACCTGAACGATCGTGCAGAGAGTTTGGCTGTATTCGGCTTTGTCGACGTTCGACTCGGCCTCGGTTTTCGATAGCTCAACTTCTTGCGGTTAGTCATCCGGGAGTATTTCTGGGGGTCAAAAAAAAACCCCCGTTTATGTTAAGGGATATGGGCATCTTACCTATCGGTGACCATTGGCATCCCAATGTGGCAAGATAGTCCCCAGCACGATCGAGTTCTGCTTTGTAGGAAGCATAGGCGAGCAGCTCGCGGCCCATGGCAAACCACTGGGCTCCCTGGCCGCTGAAGATGAAGCTGAGGCGAGGCGTCTCTGACCGCACTCGGACTGGAGGCGAGGTCTTTGATTGCAAGTCGCGGAGATCCTCGGGCGACTTCAACAGCGCGAAGGACCTCCATCCCAGGCGGCTACGATGGGTATCGAGTGAGTAGGCCAGGTTGGCGATGAAATCTTCGTCCCTGGCGATCTGGAATGCCTTCTCATCGTCATACCAGTCTTTGTACGACTCGGCAATTCTCTTGATACCGCCCTTGTCCGTGGTGGACCAGGTCAATAGCTTTGGCGGGGCATTGTCCCTGACAGTAACATAGCTGGGCAAGGCAGCGTGCTGTAATGCCGAGCCCAGGGCAGGGGGCGAAGGGACTGTGCAGTGCTTGCCCTGTAGATTTCTCATGCGCAGGTAGTTGTAGGCGTCGTCGAGGACAACATGGGAATTGGAACCTCCGTATCCAAAGGAGTTGATGGAGGCTCTCCGGAGACCCGCGGTGGGCCATGGTGTGGGTTGTTCTGGGAACTAGAACAGACCACAGAGCGTCAGTTTGCATTTGAAGCCGTCGACATTAGTCGTCGGGGTTAAATATTTGAAGGAGCGTACCTTGATCTTCAAGAAATGGGTATCAATCTTGGGGTTGACCTTCTCGAAGTTTGTGTTGGGAGGGATGATGCCCTTCTCTAAGGCGAGCACGGCCTTGAGGAGGCCGGCCAGGCCACTTGCACCCTCAAGATGGCCAATGTTGGATTTGAGAGCACCGCTGATGATAATTACTCGAATCAGCCTTTCGTCTCCGGTAGAAAGAAACAGGACACGGTGAGGAGGCAAAGTCCTCCCCCACACCACATGTTTGCGACTTACACATAGATTGGGTCCTCGACGGAGCGGTACTTTTGGAATGCCGACCCTATAGCCTGCGCTTCTCGAGGATCGCCGATGGGTGTGCCGGTGCCATGCGCCTCGAAAAAGCGGGTGTGGGCCATGGAAAGGCCGGCCTTCTGGTAGGTTTCGCGGATCAAGCGTTCCTGCGCTTGACGGCTGGGCTGGGTGATTCCGGGCGTCTTGCCGTCCTCGTTCGAGCCGGTTGCCCGAACGACGGCCCGGATGGTGTTACCGTCGCGGATGGCATCGGACAGTCTCTTGAGAACGACAACGCCAATGCCTTCGCCACGGGCGTAGCCGTTTGCCCGATGGTCAAAGGAGTGGCACCTGCTGTCTGGGGACAGGAAGCTGATGTTGGACATCCAGACGTATGCCTCTGGAGAGTTGGCCAAGTTGCAACCGGCGAGCATGGCCTAAGATTTTTTTGATAGACAGTCAATATCAAGCAACATTTGAGAGGGGGAGGGTTCAAGGGGACACGCACCATGTTACAGGATCCGTTGCGCAATGACTGGCAGGCAATATCTAGTGCCATTGCTGTACTGGAGCAGGCCGAGTCTAGACCGATACTGGGACCATGAAGGTTGAAGAACCAGCTAAGGCGGTTCGCAAGCATGCTAAGGCCGAAACCAACGGCCGCGTAAGTGGGGGGGTTTTCGGAGTCTCGAGTCAGCTGCAGCATGTAGTCCAGACTGAAAGAGCCTGTGTAGACGCCGGTTGAGGAACCGTTGATGGTTTCCATAGGGATGCCAGCTTTTCCATCCCGTTAGCCCTGAGTCCCCCGACGAACCTTGTCACACGGCACCGGTGATGAGATTTGACATACCATTTTCAAGGGCTAGATAAGCAGCCTCCAAAAGCCATCTTTGCATGGGGTCCATGGAGGTGGCTTCGTTCGGAGAGATAGAGAAGAAGTCGGCATCGAATAGAGACAAGTCCTCCTTGATGAAGTGGCCGCCCCTGAGTGGTAGCTGTAATATTGCCACGTTAGGCTCTCTCTCTCAACCCGTCTTTACCGCACAAACATAAACTGGGAGTACGTACAGTGTTGAGTCTCCCCTTTTTTTGGTAAAACCCGTCGGGGTTGACGCGCTCGGCAGGGAAATCAGTCATGGCACACCGTCTCTCCATGATCATTTTCCAGAGAGCCTCCGGCGAAGTGGCCTCCTGGGGGAACTTGACGGCAAAGCCGCATATGACTATGGGGTCGTCATCGTTGCCATCGAGCTCGAGGTCCGATGGGAGTCCACCTAGGGGGGCATCTTCGATATCACTGAGACTCGTATGTGATGAGGGGGAGCTGTCGCCGGCATTATACAGGGAGGAGGAACCTGAGCAGGTCTTGGAGGTGGGCGGAGAGACGAAGAGTCTCTCACGAGATAGAAGGGGGTTCGCCATGCTCGTGTCGACAAGGAACGAACCAGTTCGAGGGAGCAAAGAGGGATGGCTGGAACCGTTGTGTGGACGGTGGGACGGTGGAACGTGGATTTGATGATGGATCAGAGCTCTCTCACTCAAACTCAACTCAACGAATCCATTCCGAGGCGGGGTGAGATGAGTTCTTTTTTAATTATTTTCTCCTCGTACGAGATCCGCGGGGAAAGAGGAATCTTCTTTGGCTTTATGTCGGCGAGCCAGAGAGAGAGGGAGACAGGGAGACAGGGAGAAGGCGGAAGAGAGAAGAAACGGTGTGATTATCTTCTTTTCTTCCGTGAGATTTTGCCCAACCCCAACGACCAACCAGTGCCTCCCACCCACCTTGATGTGCCATCGTTGGGGTCCCGGTAGTCCGGAGGGGACCTGGAAGAGGCGTCCATGTCCTCATGTGGGATGCATACCCCTGCTAACGGTGTGGAGAGAGAGGGCCGAGATGCCCACTCACTATACGTTGTGCGCATCCGTGGAGCATCAACAGCCTGTGACGCCGAGTCCGGGGGACGTACATACATACAGCGTATAGGAACTTCGTACGTCTTGTTCTTTCACGCATGTGAATGGAGGTGGAGGATCGACCTTCTCTTCCCAGTTCTGTTCCTTTTTACAATTTGATAGATTTCGTACGAAGCCATAAAGCTGTTCCTCGACATGGTGATTGATGTCAAGAGAAGAAAAGAAAAAAGAAGTAAAAAAAATCAACCACAGAGTACTTACCGACATGCACGAAATTACAACGTACGGTCAAGAAGGAGCTACCATGGTACGGGTAGCGGATGTCGTCTCCCCCCTAAGGTAACGTGTGGCGGCGCTAACCCCAACAGAAGTGACATAGCGCCCCAAGAGCCAAAAGCCGGTCAGGTCCCGGCAGTCTGAACGACCCGGAAGCTAGGGTGCCTTGCCCAGCTAGGTAGGTAAGGTAGATGCGAAGCATGAATACGGATACCTTAGCGAAGCACATACAGGTACGTTATGTAAGGTACCTTACCTTATCAGCAGGTACGGATACGTAGCTAGTGGCTACCTATTCGACGGGTAGTTCAGGGGGATATCTCATGGGTGTACGAAGTAAATACTTCGTGTGTGTAGGCAGGGTTAGGGAGTTACAGAGACCTTCACGCAATTTGTCACTGGAAAATTTTGCAGTGGCGTATCACAAATCTACTTCCCAATCACAAGGCAACTGTCGCACAAGCTTTCCAAAGACCCAAAATGTCATAGAAGTCCCGGGTCGATGTTCGCCGGGGTCGGCTGGGTTAGCCGATCTTACGGAAGTCCCTGTCCTTCATCTTTCATCGTCGTCGCTCCCCGGTCCGGCATGGATGGGCATGGCCCTCACCGACGGGTCCATCCGGATTGGTTGATACGGGTAGCACTGGTATTCGTTTATTCGTTGGGGGGCCCCTGATTAGGATAGGCAGAAGGGACTCAAGTCAAGTCATTATCAGACGAAAAGGGTCGCATTGCCCAACGGCGCAGGTTGACAAAAGTCCATTCAAAGCCAACCCGACTTCAGAGCTGCGCGTACGGAGGGATGCCTTGCCTACGACGTACTTCGATGGGCTTTTCGTATCGCTTGGATCGTAGAGTGCGTGTCGTGCTCGAATCCTTATAACGTACATATATACAACGTACATGTTGGTCTTGTTGGTTCTCGATCAGGTTGGCTGCAAGGGGGATCACAATCCTCATGCATGGATGGGGAAGTCAGATCACCCACACATGCTCTGCTCACCCTTCTGCACATCTGTAATCGTCGTACATACATACGAACGTCGTGGAGGAGCGTCGTCCAACAACTGGCCCACGAGCGGCAGGGGTTGGTTGCTGTGGAGCAAAGACCAGTCAAATACATAGGTAGTCAGTCTATCCACCTTGTGTCGATACTGATCCGTGTTGTGATGTGTTGTGTAATGGAACAGATAATTGTCCCCGGGTATGGATATCCTACTGATACTTCCCCCCCAGGCGCATCCGCAACGTAAACTGACCCTGACGGCTTGCTTGTTATCAAAATGAGCTCAACGCCAAGTGACACAGAGATACGTGTATTGACTAGGTAGTCGTGGACTCGTGTTTGGCTTCAACTTTTCAAGACAGCGTGGCTGAACTACCTTATCTTTTGCAAGATAGCGAAACTCCGTACCTAAGGTATCTGTACTCCTTACTTCGCTCGACTACCTACGTTGTATGTTCAAAACGGTAACATCCCTCCGCCCTGACTGACCCCTTATATCCCATAATCATCAGTAAGCTAATTACTGCTGCTCGGCGAGAAAGATAGTTCTCCGAATGATATGGACTGATTCGGTCAATAAGTTCTTCCGAGGGACTTCGTGCCCTCCATCATGAATGAGCGTCAGACGCGTAGCAGGGTCGCAGAGACGGCTCAGGTCCAATCCGCCCGTGGGGGCGGTGGCGTCCGCCGAACCCCAGATGTGCGCCGTTGGGATCTTGATCAGGGGGTCGCTGGTGGTGGTGGTGGTGGTGGTGGTGGTGGTGGTGGTGCCATCTTCGAACGCGGTAATGTCGATACCCAGGTGCGCAAACTCGGCACTACTGGACGCGCTGGACAGAAACACGGCGCATCGGAAGGGGGGTTTCTGAGTGCTGACCGGCCCGCCATCGCCTTCACCTTTGTGTGCTTGGCGCTGTTTCTGGACTAGGTACATGGCGGCAAGGACCGCCCCGGCGGAGAATCCCATTAGGGCGTCGAACGGTCCTTCGGCCGCCACATATTCGTCTAATTGGCTGATGGCACGGGGAACCGTGGCCAGGTCGTTTGGGTCGTAGAAGGCGTAGAACTTGGCATCAGGCGAGGCCAACGTCTCGACTCCTGGAGTGAAAAGATATTAGCCTAGTTAGCCCCTGGGCAGGAGGATGTTGATGGCGTGATAGGGGTCCCTAGATCCCTAGGGTTCGGGGGGGTTTTTTTTTCCTCCTTTTTCTTTTGACCCCCCCTTCTCCTTTTTTTTTTCTTTTTTTCGGTTCTTTTTTCTTTCTTTTTCCACTCCATGTTTTGTCCCACCCCCCATAGAGCGAGCATAGAGCCCTCTGGGCTGGTGCGCCTGTCCCTGCGCTGGGGAACAGATCCATTTACATGGGACTGCCCCCAACGGGCACAGGACACAGGAGGAAAAGCAAGCTTGTAACGCTGCAGAAATCTGCTCGGCTGAGGCTAGGCTGGTCCATCGAGACAGGCCCCTCGGGTGAGTCACCGACAGCACAGGGATAAACGCCTGTATGTACTCCGTGCTCCGAATTGACTCGACGAAATGATGTACGTACCTTCAGACATGGGCGCCTCAATGGCAGCCTCGACGAACTCGTATTCATGCCCATCTTCCAATTCATGCCTCAAAGGGGCTACATGAAGAAGAGCCCCCCAAACCGGCGTAAGGATTAATCGTCTCGTCTCGAAACAAGCTTGGGGACGAGGAAGGGAGGGGGAGAGTATGGCAGAAGGCCAACCCGTCTCTTACCGGTCTGCAGCTTCATAACCTGTCACACTTGTCTCAGCCACAGCCACAGCCTTGTCTTTTTGTCTTTCTTTTTGTTTCTTTTTCTTTTTCTTTTTCCGCTTCTATTTCTTTTTCGCTTCTTCCTCTTCTCTTGCAGATCTTCCAAGCTGACAACTCAAAATCCGGCGAATAAGGTAGCGAGCACTTACATTGCTGTTTGTCCCGTTGCCATGAAGGCAGAGGAACTTCATTTTCTCGAATAGGTAGGTAGAACTGTACCTACCAGTGCTGTGGATGGATAAGGTAGGCGGAAACGGGATGATCGGTCTCCGGTCTTTTCGGAGACCACGGGGTGAGAATCGAAAGAACAATTAGATCATTCGGGGGTCAATCATTAAGGATAAACCAAGAAACCGGAGGGTGAAAAAAAATTCATATGAACACAATTTCAGCCGAAAGGAAGAATAATAGAAAGGCTTGAAAGACGCCCCTTTATTAATACGCTTACTTGGTTCGTGTGCGCCCGCCAATTTCTTTGCGACTCGGTTTTATCGAGGTCTCGGATTTCGTTGGTGCGTACACGAATACCTTACTTTGGAGGGAAATAGGTGAATTTTGGTATCATAATGGTCTCGCTGGAGCGATCCTGGGTCTTACTCAACCCTTCTGCGACGTACCTACAGTACTTCGTTCTACCCCAGGATCAGGAGATCGTAAAGGTATGGCATGTGCGCTGTGCGCAGGGGTAGGGGTAGGTTAGTATGTACAGTGTAGGGGCACTTGGGAGCAATTTTCGCGACCAGCATCATATCACGTACCTCATGTACGTTGTAGGTTGATATCACATCGACATCTTACCAACCAATTACTTCATATATACACCACGGCACGGATACGGCCGGGAACGGAAAAAGGTCAGTCACCGTGCGTAATAAGAGTTGCACGGAGTATACAAGTGCTCTGAGCCGAAAAACACCCAAAACTGGTACACCCACTAAGGCAGGTACCCACAGTAGCAAAGTAGCACTGTGGGGCTGCCCTGCAGGTCAACGGCCCACCACGGGATCCACAACCGATCCTTCGAAGCTATATCAGTTCACAAGCTAAACTGGACTCGGTATTTTACGCGTGACGAAGGATTCTACTAAAAGCTTGGCTGATGTTCTAAGCATGGGCTTCAGCGACTACATACCGTTTGCGTTTACCCACGTTGTACGTTGTATATACTCAAGATTCCAAGTCCGTCCCCTCTCGGAGCCCGTAAAAGACGAAAAGACAAATCGCATATCATATCCATTCTGACCTTTCACCTTTATAACGATTACTCTTCCCTCCCAAATGCCTATGATACGCTTCAACAACGCCGTGTGCGACGCAGACGAGGGCGTCGTCAGCTGGGTTGGATTGGCAAGAACTTTAGTCGACGACGAACAAGCTAGAAGCGGGATTACGGGGTAGCATAGAATGGTAGCGGAAAGTTCCTTTGGTGTTGTGTGGCTTGGCTTGGCTACCTATAACCAACATGATGTTGCATTCTCTCGGCGTGTTCGAAGACGAGACCTGCACATCTGCGCAGCCTAAGGTACCTAAGGTAAGGTAGGTATTATTACTCCTTCCTATTCCTGACCTCCTAGTACATATGTACATGGAACTATGAAGTACGTTGTACCTACTTAGTATGTAGGTAGGTACCGCACATTACAGTACGGAGTGCATCCCACCCCATCGCCTTCCCACCAAACCACCCATGTGCGCTTAGCAGTGGGCGAGACTGAAGGAAATCAGATTTTTTGGATGTCCCTCCACCGATTATGCATCCCATCTTCGTCCCGTGTCCCGTCAAACTGGGGCCATACCTAAGACGGGGGGAGACGACAAAAGTCTCTATCAGCACGTTGTAGCAGGACGGCGAGCTAGGAAGAATAGGTAGGCACTAGCTCGAGACTATCTTGCATTGGGGATTGGCAGGGGGCTGGCAGACAGGTTAAGAGGGGGTGTGGTGCGGGACACCAATGCGACGATAACAGCCGCAGGAAGGGGGCTGAAATGGTGGTAATGCGAACGGGAGCGGGAGTTCTCCTGTTTCGCTAGCCCCTCTTCTTCAGATGGAACGGCACCTACTATATTCCCATGCGTTATTCCTTCCGCGAAAGTGTCAGTTTCTGCCGTGAGGTAGCACTCAGGGAGGGGGGCACTTCTGTGGCTGTGGGAAACAGGCTAGGCGGGTCTTGGGTGAGGTCGATTTGAGTCTTCCACTTCCTATATACGTTGTCCACGCGTGTGTGTGTGTGTACGTTGTATGTCTCTCGCCTAAGTTGGAGTATCCGTAGGATTCGTTCTATGCTGTTGAGAAGCAGCTCCGTCGCATCCATCCATCCATTCTGCATTCTGATCTAGTTCATACATTCATACATTCGCTCATTCATTGTTCTTGTTATTTTTCCCCTTCTCCCCTTTTCTTTTTTGCCCTTCGCTGTGAAAATCTTTTTTTGGCCTTTCTTCAGCCTGTCGGCGTTTACTCCGGTCGTCCTCGCCGGTTTCCTGCAAAACAACTCCCGTCAACAACATCGCCAACCGCATAAGTAGTATACGGATACGCACCCCGCCAACATATCCGACCTGTCTATCCCCCGGATTCCCCCGCCCCTTCTCTACACCACACCGTTAAACGACGCACCGCGAAACCATGGCCGACGCGGACCCGCCCCAAGCCACCCCGGGCTCAGCCGATGACTATCGCGGGGACCAGTTTCTCGCCTTCCTCATCGTCATGACGGTCATCACAACGGCGTCCATTATCTTGAGATTCGTGTCGCGAGGCTTGGGAAAGACCGGCAATCGGTTTTGGTGGGATGACTGGACTGCTCTGTTTGCTGTGGTATGTCGTCCGCTGCCCAACTACATACACACTACCACCGCCTCCACGCGCGGGCACGCGCGGGCACGCGAGGCCCTAGAGTAGGGTCGGTCGAAAGATGATGTTTCTGACGCGCCTTCTAGCCTTTCATTTACGCCCAGTTAGGCTTGTCGTTTGCCATGCTTAACTACGGTCTCGGATACCATATGTGGGTTGTCATGGACAAGCTCCCGACATTCATGAAACTCTTGTTCTCCGTATATTTCGTCTACGACGTCGCCCTCTTTGTCACCAAAGAGTCTGCTCTGCTGTTCTTCTCCCGCATCTTCCCCAAGCGCAACAATTCCGCCTGGTGGAACTGGGCCCTCTGGATTACGCATGGGATCAACGCCGCGTGGCTCATCGGCATCATTTTCGGCACCATCTTCATGTGCGACCCTGTCGAGAAAGGCTGGAACCCCATGATCCCGGGCACATGTGGCGAGAATTCCGCCCTCTGGCTTGGAAGCGCCGTCCCCAGCGTTGTCATCGACCTTCTCATCCTGCTCTTGCCTCTGCCTAAGATTTGGGGGCTTCAACTGAGCACGGCCCGTAAGACCGGTGTTACCCTCGTCTTCGTCTTGGGTTATTGGTGAGTCTTTGTCTATGCGTTACCGTGGTGGGAGAAGCGACGATCTCTCCTGGTTCATGACGTGCTAACAATTACCGACCCGTCTCCAGCGTCATTATTGTGTCTCTCGGCCGCTTGATCACCCTTCTGACCAATATAGACGGCTTGAATACTGATGTTACCTGTAAGTCTTCGCTCGCCTTATCTCGCCGGGCCCGGCCCCCGCACCGCCTCTGTTTTTATTCTTAGTGTCTGGTTCGGCGCCGGACCGGGCCGGGGGCCCGTATCCCTTAGCCCAGACCACTCTCGCTAGTAAACAACGCGCTGACCTTTTGGCCCCACGCAATCAAAACAGACGAAATCGTTCCCGTCAGCATGTGGGTCTCCGCCGAAGCCCCCGTCACCCTCCTCTGCATCTGCCTCCCCGCCATGTTGCCCCTCGGCAAGCACATCGTGAAGACGTACTTCTCGCGCTGGATCAGCCAGGTCACGTCGTTCGTCAGCACAAAAGGCCCCAATACCCGTGGCGGCACCCTGCGCAGCAAGACCGGCAACTTCACCTCCACCACCGCCCCCGGCTCCTATGACATGCACATGCGCACCGGCAAGTCGTCGCGGAGCACGTTCGGCGGCCCAGGCGACCGCGACAGCGTCAACTCGGACCGCAGCAACCGTGGGATCCTACCCATGAGGGAGCATACGGCATGTGCGCTCGGTGAGCCGGGGGTGTTCAGGGAAGATATGCCAAGCCGGGCTATTCGCGTGGACAATGAGATCGTGGTCGACCGACGATATCCGTGATGCGCAGAGATGGAAAGGAAGGGAGGTTCTTGTGTCTTTTTGTTGCTGTACGATTGGGCGACAGGGTGCCTGCCGGGAAAGGCGCTCTCGTCTGTACTTCTGTACTAGTTCTTTGGTCTAGGTATTATGAATAGCCAGGCGTTCTTAATTCCCCATTTGGTTCTTGGGGTTCACGATATGTCTCGATGGTCATGGCGGTAATGGTGTCAACCAAGAAGTACCTTAGTACCTTACCTTATGGAATTGAATGTGGTCATGTACCTAGGTACGTACCCATGTACATGTGATAACAGACCATGGAGAAACCCATGCCAAGCAACGCAAATGCTTTTGTACCTTACTGAGTAGGTACTCGGCATTTGTAGTGGAGGGAAAGAGGAGAAACAGCCGGAGTACCTGTGTCGTAGGTACATTCTCCCGCCTTGGCAAGTGGGAAGTACCTTGTACGGAGTATCGAAGCCCTGACGCTTGATAACAAACTGCGTAATAATTCCGGTTACCTAGGTAGGTAGGCAAGGTACAACGCATAAACAGGGAGGATTGTTCGCCCATCTCCTCTTTGCGATCGATACCTTACCGTACAACGTACATAAGCACCAAGTAATTACGTTATACATAGGTACCGTAAAACCCCAACAAACTCGTCTTTGCGCTAGATTCTTAGTGCCCCGTTTTCCCCAGGCTTTTCTAAAATAAACCAATCAAAACATAGTATTCGGAGCGCTTATCTGATAACCGAAGCGATAATATCCGAGATCGGTACTTTAATTCTCTGCCATCTAATAGAACACTTTCTAGAAGTGGGGCTTTTGTTAAAAGCGGTATAGCGCTGGTTAGCGCAAAGACGAGTTTATTGGGTTTTTACGGTATTCACTGCGGGTGGGTCTGGAAATATGGTCATTGGTAAACCTAACTTGCCATGCTCCTGGCTCTGCAACCAACCTACTACGAAATAATTACTTCGTACAGGATAGGGAGACATCCTTACATCCTTCAATCCCACCTCGAGTCAGCATTGACCTGCTCCAGCAGCGAAACCCAACGATACCCCGCCACGGTGTGCGCGATACCGATAAACTCCGTCTTGGACATCTTCTCCGTGACCTCCCGCCAAGTCTCTTCGTCCAGAGGCCCGTTGAGCGAGGTCAAGATGCGACCAAGGCGGTAGGCCAACGCCTCCTCTTCGCTCAGGTCCCGCGGTACCTTCCCGGCGATGCCATCCTCGAACTGCTCGGGGGTGAGGCCGACCTTGGGTGCGACCGCTCGGTGGCACAGAGCCACATAGGGAACCCGGAGGACAGAAGCCAGCCCTATGATGGCCAGCTCCCTGTTGCGCGGCTTGACGCCGGACGCATAGATGGATTTGGCTACTTCGAAGAACTGCTTCGCCACACCAGGTGTGTAGCTGTAGGACGAGGCGGAAGGGGGGTGAGAACGTGGGTGGCAGATGGTCAGCCTGTTTCTGTTGGGCACTTCCCGATGCGCATACAAGGGGGAGTTGTGTGTGTCCTAAAGTTTACCTCAACCCGGCATAGCATCCCAGCAGCGTGTTTCCTTCCTCGTCAATCCAGGGGAACGGCGAGGCACCGCCGTGCATCTTGGACAAGGCTTCCTGGATGACCTCCTTTGCTTCTGACCCGCCGGGTGCTTCATCGAGAGGAAAGCGAGGCGCCATGATGCGAAAGAACGCCGGATGTAGCGAGACGATACTGGTAAGAATAGAGAGAGCAACAGTGCGGCGTCGAACGAGAGGCAAGCAAGGGGTCTTCGTGTTTGCGGGAGGATACCTAGTTTTCAGGGGAAATTATTCGGAAGGAATCGGAGTCAGCTGAAGATAACTTAAACCTCTCTGTTTTTACAGGGATCGGCCCCCGGTAAAAAGGAAGAAGAAGAAAAAAGAAAGGGATTGACGAAGCGGGGATTGTCCGTTTCTAGAAGCTGGGGGGCAGGCAAACGTCGAAGGATTCCCTAATATGCACCGAACATGGAGTACATACGTTGTACAGAGCTCTTCGGTGCATACAACTGTAAGATACCTGCGGGAAACAGACGTTAGTAATGCTTAGGTACCTAAGGTAGGTAAGGTATTAGGAAATTACGTTGTACTACCTAGTAATATGTACTTCCGGGCAGCAACCGAGGGTAGGTAGACGACATTCGACAGAATTGGGTGGGATGCAGACACGTTATCTGATGGAAGGGCCATTTGCCGGACGAATCCCACTGTACCGGGGTTAGTGTTGCACCCCGGAATAGGTGCTGTCTCATCCTCTTTCCTTAAACATTTACAATCTTTTTACGCCGTATTTTAAACAGGAAGATGGTCTGGCTTGGCAATTACCCTCGATGCGACATTAACGGACCTTAAATCCAGGGGTCGAGGCGGGTCCCTGCGCCTTAATAACAAGGAAGGCGTACAAAGCTTGTGGATCCCCGTACCGGTACGTTGTACTTCGTACCTACCTTAGGTAAGGTACGTGCAAGGAGCTTCCCGACGATCCGGCAGCATGTTGTCCGAGATTGCGCTTCTATTGGTGAGTGGGTGCAGATACTCGAAAGTACTAGGCCCATATGCGGAGTACTGCACCCTTGTTTCTAGCTTGGTGTGTACCTGAATCAATACCTTAGGTACGTACCTTAGGGCAGGCCGTCGCTACGTTATCTTTCACGACATCCAAAAATCCGCCAAGAGATCCATCCTTCACCCAGTAATTGGTGTGTGCTGCGGGCCTCCACTACCTTATGCGGGCTGAAATGCACAGATGAAGTGGACATGGCACTGAATGCGACTTGTCCAATTAGACGACTAGTGTACTCACTTTTATCGTTTTTTTCTTCTTCTTCACTTCTTACCCCAGACTCACGGGGGTTGGCCAAGCTCAGTCTGCAAGTTGTAACGGGGTCGCGATGACGAGGAAGAAGGGTCCAGACTATGGCAATCAGTGTGCGCACTGCACACTACACACATACCTTTACGTTGTACAGTTTCAAGTGGAGGATTCATCGCTTACTGTGACATTGACCACGGGCAGCTCTAGTCCCGCGCCACAGTAAAGGTTGAAGCCCCCAACCCCAGTCGGCCAGGCGAAGGAGCGGTCAGGGCAAGCTAAACGAAACGGGGATCTTCGGTGTGCGCTGGGTGTGACCTCAGATTTCTCCAGTCTCTTCTCAGTTGTTGCTCTCTCTACTCGAGTCCCCGGAGCCGTACAACGTACACGTAGAAGGTATTGGCTGATGATCGGCCAACGCGAGCAGCCATGGAACCAGACAAGAAGCAATTGAAAGTGGTGATTGTGAGTTTCTGCCCCTAACAAGGCCTCTGCCACCCCAGACGACAGCCCGCTGACGTCGGTGACGTGCAGCTAGGCGGCTCCCTTGCGGGGCTGATGTGCGGCATCGCCCTAAAGCATGCAGGGCACGAAGTGACGATCATCGAAAAGGGCGAGAACGTCCGGCAGAGCCATATGGCAGGCGTATGTCTGGGGCTCGACGCCGAACGGTTCCTAGAACGCCACGACCGGCTCAGCAACGTCTTTTCCCACCGATGCCTCCGTATACAGGCTCTGAAGAGCGACGAGACGGTTCAAGTTTTCATCAACGCGCGCCGCGACATCACCAACTGGGACGCGTACTACTTCCGCCTTCGCGCCAACTTCGACGGTTACAAGAGCTCCTTCTACCCGATTCCGCCCCAACCGTCGGCGACGGACGGCCCAAGCAGCTACAACGCCCGGAGAGAGGTTGTGGACCTCACACGGACGGGCGACCGTGGCAATACCAAACTGGTGCTGTCCGTATTGGACCACGATACCCGGGACGTGTCGAAAGTGGAAGCCGACCTCGTAGTGGGAGCCGACGGGCCCGACTCGTTCATCCGAGCCAAGTATATTCCCGAATCGAAGCGGCGATATGTAGGATACATCGCGTGGCGGGGCACGGTGCCGGAGAGCGAGGTCTCGGAGGCGACGCGCGACGTCTTCAAGCGCAGCGTGACGATCCATCTCATGGATCGGCACCACTGTCTCGTCTACACGATCCCCGGAGTGGATGGGTCTCTGGAGAAAGGCGAGAGATACCTCAATTTCCTCTGGTACACCAACGAGACGCCCGAGGCGCTGGACGAGATCCTGATCGACGGCATCGACGGTCACCGGCACCATAATATCGTGCCGTCCGGGCACGTCCGGAAGGACATCTGGGAGGCCCGCCTGCAGACAGCCAGGTCGATTCCGCTGCCCGGACCATTCCTCGAGATCATCACGAAGATCGAGAGGCCGTTCATCCAGGTCATCACCGAGGTCATCTCGCCGCGCGCGTCGTTTGAAGATGGCAGGGTGCTGCTGATGGGTGACGGACTGTCCTTGTACCGCCCCCACACGGCCTTCAGCGGCACGCAGGCGGCATTCCACGCGCTGAAGGTCGAGGAGTACGTCGAGGGCAAGATCTCGGCGCAGGAATACGAGGAGAAGGCTCTGCGGTATGCGCGGCTGCACTGGTCGCAGAGCATCTGGTATGGTGATTTCTACCAATACAGTAAATGGACCGCGTTGAAATCGGCATTGTATTACTGGTTTCACTGTGGGATAGACCGGGTCAACTCATGGTGGACGGGCGAGGAACGGTTGTTGCGCGGATGGTCAAAGGTGGTGGAGCAGTATGATGACGAATAAGGGGGATTCTCTTGGTTGTTTCCCCTTTGCTTTCCTGAGACGGATGATTTTGGGGTAGCATGCATGATGGTATTCTGGCATCAATTTGGGATTTTCTTTCCGTCTCAGCCCAGCTCCCCGTCCTGCTTCCCATCGTGGTCTGGGAAGCAAGTGGATAGTGGATAGGAATGCCTATATCCGTAGTCGTACTCGCAGACGACAGCCACGGGTCAAGTCGCGAGGGCCAATTGGCGCGAATTCACGAATAGCCCGAGAACAGTATGACTTGCTTATGGATTTGTGGTTATTGGACAAACTAGTTGACGCCGTTAGCGGGTTTAGCGGTCGGTCATTTTGGCAGGTGAATTGGATGTTGTTTGCAGCTAGCTATGGTGCCATCATGGATTACTTCGTGGGGGAAGACCAATGGCCGGCGCACCGCGATGTCGGCGACGCGCCTCAGCCACAGGTGCGGTGGTACGGTACCCGGGCCAGCAGGCATAATACGGATAAGAGGCACAATGGGCTTGGGGCTTGGGGCTTGGGGCTTGGGGCTTGGGGCTTGGGGCTTGGGATGCGTATCATGACCGCCCTGGTTGGCTGAGCGGGTAGCCTCCCTGACGCCTCAACGGTGTCTCGCATCGACCGTTCGATAGCACGACGTCGACCGTTCGATAGCACAATAAATATCAGGGGACCTATATACGTTGTACGTTGAAACGGCAATGGGATGATTGAGAAAATCCGAGTCTAGATCAATTGATAGACCGGATCTGGTCTTGTCCAGGCACGTTTTCATAGGAAATGCGAATACAACGTACAGAGTACTGCCGAAAACAATTCGTTTCGCATGGAACTTTGCTCAGGTACGTACGGACATTGGAGTGCGGTCTTCATCTTCGTTGATGCATTCGTATGTGAGTTGATCCTACACTAGTCGCTATAGGGAAGGTAGGCCTGTAGGATGGAGGAAAGAGGATGGAGGATGGAGGGTCATTACCGTTGTACGTTGTAACTGGATCCGTTTGGGCCGCCACGTTGTACAACGTACGGAGTACAAACCTCGAATAATGTCTACTAAGGTACCTAAGGCAGGTACCTTATCTCCAGTCTTCCCCTCTCCAGTCCAAAAGTCCCTGCCGAGATCAATGCACGTACCTCATGCTACACCGTACTCCATACATCGGTGCACGTACCACAAGATCCTACGGAGTTACTACTGGCAACGGGCCGAGACGCCGCCACGAATCCCCCGACTTTTAGCGACCACTCAGACCATACTGTAACTCGATCCCATACCTCGCAGGCCTACAGTGTATGTAATTTACGTTATTAACATAAGAAAGGGGTTAGGCTATCTTACTGATCTGCTGGTGAAGTGATAAGATACATACGGGCTTTCTTTTGTTTCTTTTTGCTGTCCTTTTCGGTGAATATTGTGTCTGTGGCGGCGCCCACGAGAACTCAGGTTAATAAGTGTTGTTCTTACCGAGTATAGATACACTAGTGATTGCGGCGTTCTTAGACTAAGGTACGGAGTAGTTATTGCGAAAGCGGGAGGGGAGAGGGTGGGAGAAAGTACGGGGGCTAGGGAGGATTAGAGAGGATATTGACCCTTTCGACCACGTCTCAAAGGCGTTTGGTGAATTTGAAAGGTCCTACGTTGTTGTATGTATTGGCGGATGCCAAGCCACAACGGCAAAAGGGTCCTTTGAAACGAGATGAGAGCTCGCTAATTAGGTACTTTCCGTGTTCCGTTTATCCGTTTCCCGGTTTCTTTAATCTGTCGTATCGTAACCATGTGAAGGTACCTGAGCGAGGACGACAAGATTTGACGATTATATTACGGCTAACTATAGAGCAGGCTTCGTGACATCGTACAGCATAAGCTGACCAAGCACCTAATCTGTGCTTTTCGACCGTGGTAATTAGATCCCCGCTGAACCTGTACATATTTGACATGAACTTTCCGTGCTCATGCGCGAAATCAAGCCACGAAGTGCGAAGCACGAACCATTGCCATTGCCATTGCCGCTGTCAGCTATGTTTATGCTGAGCTTGGTCGTGCAAGGGTAGGTTGTAGTTATTCTAACCTGAATGGAATGATATGGGGGCCTGGATCATATATGTATCCGTGCTCTATCGATCCCCCCATGATACTGCCCCCTCCCACCTGCTACCCACGCTTGGCTCCCCACTCTCCTGTTCCTTGCAGGTCCCAGGTTCTACCTCCTACCGCTGTACGTTGTACATACAATAGGTAGGTACGGAGTAATCGTACGAAGTATTGTATTGTACTATACTGTAATTAGATCTACACGTAATGCTTATTGGTGTTTAAGGGGGATCGGACATCGGACTTCGCGACGAACACAACACTGCGACTGCACGCACGGTTTCCCCCCGGGGATCACGAGCCCACTTGACGGCGTTTTGATCTGTTGGTCTGTTGGTCTGTTGGTCTTGTCTTATTTTTCTTTTATTTTTCTTTTTGTCGTTATTCGTTAAAAGTCCCATGCGGGGATGAATATGAAGAATAGCATGTAGCCCATTCGTCTCCCTTCGTTCCATCGACACCTCGGAAGCAATCCCAAGAAGAAAAGTGCGTATGTGTCTAGGTGGTGTGGTGTTCTCTGTCGCACTCTCCTGCCTTTCCTCTCCTCTCCTCCTCTCGTCTTCTCTCCTCTTCTTACACCCCCCCTTCCCCTTTATCCTTTCTTCTTAAGGCAACGTACAGTAGTATTGTGACGGTCCCATCGTCCTGCCCCCAACAAGCCTCTGGGCAACCTACTGCATAAGGTAGCCATCTCATCTACCAACCAAAAGGTATGGTACTGGTACTGCCCAGTCATTGGAACTGCCCCCAACAGCCAACCCCCCTCACTGTTACCTTGCCACGAGGCAAGTCGCGACACGAACTAATTTATCCTCCAAACGAAAACAGCGCCGATCCATTTTACGCGCAATTGCAATCCTTAGCAAACATTACACACTCGTTACAATTGTTACAGTCCTTACAGTCGTTACTCTATACAGTCCTTACAGGCATTGATTACAACCGATACAGCCGTTACACGACGCGCCGGGTCGGCTGTCTAAGGTAGACGGGGGGGAGAAGGCCAGAAAAGGTCAGAACCAAAAAAAAAAAAAAAAAAAAAAAAGGCGCAGGAAGGCGCAGGAGGGCGCAGGAAGGCATAGTCGTCTACTGAGTACAGGTAACCCCTCGTGGTTTTGGGTCGTACTTTCCAGCCGCCTGTTCTTTTTTAAGCTCTGGCCGCAAGCTCCTGAGCTTCCTTTGTTCATCATGCTCGCTTTCCCCTCAACTTCACCCCGCCTCTTCTGGCATCTCCTCCTCCACGCCCTTTTCTTCACCTTGCCCCTGAACAGCCTCAACTTCTTCGCCTCAGCACAACCGATCACAATGGCTGGAATCGTCAATCACCTTCCCTGCGGCCTCAATGAGGTGGACGTTATTATTGCCGGAGGTAAGCTCTGCCTTTGGGACCCCTCTGCTCTTTTCTCGCCTTTTCACTTGACCCAGCCACAAAGCTACGAGGAATTGGAATATTCGCCCATGCTTGAAAGGGGGAGGGAAAACAATTGAAAAAAGAAAAAAAAGAAAAAAGAAACACCCCCCCGAAAAGAAGAGAAAAAAAAAGAAAGAAAAAGACAAGAAAAGAACCTGCATGGACCTCGAATACTTCAGCACTCGAGAAACAAAGCCCTTTTTTTCCGCGTCTTCATCTTACCAACTGACCTGTCCATAGGTGGTACTGCCGGCCTTGTTGTCGCCGCCAGATTGAGCGATGCGGACCCGAATCTTTCTATCCTGGTTATTGAGCGTGGCCAAAACAACTTCAATGACCCTTCCATTGTCCATCCGGTGCTCTTCCTGAGCCATATGATGCCCACCAGCAAAACCACTCTCTTTTACCAAGGCGGCAAGGAAGGCGAGCTGGCCGACCGGGAGCTCGTCGTGCCTGCAGGCGGTGTCCTGGGTGGTGGATCGTCTATCAACCTCTTGACCTACAGCCGTGCTCAGCGGGAAGACTTCGACGAGTGGGGTGTCCCCGGCTGGACGGCCGAGGACATGATCCCCTACTTGCAGAAGGTACGTTGCAAACAAACAGCCCGCGGTTCCTGTTCTTCGTTCGCCTATAATATGAATTTGAACTAACACGAGGCGGGGAATCAATAGCTCGAGACCTACCACGGTCCAGGCACGCTGGAGACGCACGGCGACAGCGGTCCCGTTCAGATCTCCCGTGGCCCCTTCGAGGCTGTCTCTACGTCGGAGGACGACTTCCTCCAGGCTGCTGCTCAGGTTGGCTGGCCCGAAGTTCCAGACTTGCAGGACCTCGACACGAACAACGCTTTCTCGAGAAACATGCGCTTCATCAGCCCCGACGGCAAGCGACAGGACTCCGCCCACACCTACCTCCATCCTCGTCTCCAGGACGGCAACCACCCCAACTTGCACATCCTCACCGAGCATCTCGTGGTTCGCGTCGTCTTCGAGGGTAAGAAGGCTGTCGGCGTCGAGTTCCAGCCTAACCCGCTGTTCCAAGAAGGTCGCAACACCGTCAGGACCGTCAGGGCCAGGAAGCAAGTCATCCTCTCCGCCGGCGCCCTCGGTACGCCCCTCGTGCTCGAGCGGTCTGGTATTGGTCACCCCAAATATCTCACTCGCGCCGGTATCAAGCCGGTTGCTCCGCTTCAAGGCGTCGGCGAAAACTACCTAGACCACCACCTGCTCACGCATCCCTACAAATCGAGCCTACTTCCCAACGAGACAGTTGACGCCATCTACGGCGGCCGGATCGACCTCGGTGAGCTGATGCAGACCAATGCCCCCATTCTCGGATGGAACGCCGCCGACGTTACCGCCAAGGTTCGACCGACCGAAGAAGAGGTGGCTGCCCTTGGTCCCAGCTTCCAGGCTGCCTGGGATCGGGACTACCGGGACAAGCCCAACAAGCCGCTTATGATCACGACTTCTCTCAATGGGTACGTAGTATACGCATAACACAACCGTGTCCCTCCCGGGCATGGACGCATACCGTAGGAAAGAAATTACTGACTTCCGTGCCAGTTTCCCGGGTGACCCGACCGGCCTTCCCGTCGGCCAGTATCTGTCGGTGTCGACCTTCACCGTGTACCCCTATTCTCGCGGCCACATTCATATCACCGGTCCCAATGCGTTGGACCCGTACGATTTCAAGACGGGCTTCTTCACGGACTGCGGCGGTATCGATCTCACGAAGGCCATGTGGGCCTACAAGAAACAGCGCGAGATCATGCGCCGCCTCAAGGTTTACAGGGGCGAATACGCCCCTGGCCACCCGCCCTTCCCGCAGGGCTCGGACGCCGCCCTCGTCGAGACGGACGGCCCTCTCACCGACGTCAAGGACATTGTCTACACGGCCGAGGATGACGCTGTCCTCGAGCAATGGATCCGTCAAAACGTCGGTACAACCTGGCACTCCATGGGCACGGCTAAGATGGCGCCCCGCGATGAGAACGGCGTCGTCGACGCTACCCTCAGCGTCTATGGTGTCCAGAACCTCAAAATCGCCGATCTCTCCATCCCTCCCGGGAACGTTGCTGCCAATACCGCCAACACTGCTTTCGCAATTGGCGAGAAGGCGGCTGACATTCTCATCGAAGAACTTGGCCTGGCCTGAGAATAGAAGATAAAAAGCCATTCCTCTTATTTTTTTATACTTATTTTTCTTTTTTTCTTTTCTAGAAGGTATAGTTGCTTTATATTTGGGCGGCTATTTGCGATTGGAAACCCTTCTTCTCCTCTCCTTGACTATCAAAAGACTGGAATGAAGAATGACGGTACTACTCTGTAATGATCTTTGCGGATGATCTATTTCATATATCTATACATACCGCCTACATATACCTTGGAAGTATGGACAGCTACCTTATGTTCGATGTTGTTTCTTGAATGCTCACTTTGGAGGTGATTTCGTGGACGTCCATTGCGCGTCTGGGAGGGTGGTGTGGCTTGAGGTTTTGCAGCCTCCAACCTGCTGCAGCCCATTTAGTAATTCTAATAAAATTCGGTTTAATCCGTCCTCGAGATACATGGCTTGAAGAAGATGTATGACCCTGGCGATCGTCCTTCACTTGGTACCTCGTTGAGTAAAGGGTAGAGACTCCCCCCGAGACTCGGATGCTGCACTGTCTGTTGTGGAGTTTGATTCAACCAACTGAAGAGCCGTGGGTTGAGCTGTGTATTCATTCTCTGCTGACCGCAGTAACCGAGAGGAATGCACACGTGTCGAAATCTAATCCAGGGCGAGTGATTGTTCTTTTGGAGATGACTAGGTCGATTATCAGAGACGGGCGATTGTGTTGCCTCGGCTCCCGAGGCATTAACTAATGGCCTGATGGTTTGCCTATTCACCCTGTAATGCTCCGTACAGGCTAGACTTTCTTCCGCACTTCCGGGAGTTTCGAGTTATAGGCCGAACACCAGCAAAGGCCCCTGACTTGCATTTGTTCGGGACGCAGGAGCTGGGTAGAAGTGAGAAGTCTTAGCTGCGGTCATACCACGAGGAAATTACGCTCCTATCCCCTGGTAAGAAATAGACCAGGGACTACTCTCCTGGGCCCTAGTCCAATTCCAAGCCTCATCCCTTGCGTCGATTTTCTCTTTTACGACTTTGTTTCTGGGCAATGCTATGAACTGGCTGTGAATTACAGCCTATCTATCTCTTGACCTGGAAGACCTCCTAACCTTGAGGGCACCACGGGGAAAGTTGACGTTGTTTCACGAACCCGTTTCTTCAAACAAGATGCGTTGGCACCAGAGAACATCCAAAGGAGAAAGTATGGGCCGTTCCAAAGCAGAACAAGAAGACGCGGTGGAATGTGTGGGAGACGGATTCGGACCCGAGATGCCAGGGAAATGGGTCACGTCATGATCGCCAAGCCGAGCCAAGACGGGTAACAATCGGCTTGGGAAAGGCTTGTTTCTGGGGGGCACACGCCTTTTATTTAACATTTTCATGGTCTCGTTTCCTGTCGCCCCATTGGCTTCATCTTAACAACCCTTACTATACCTAAGGTATGCCAGAAGGCCAAATCAAATACCAACCCCAAGAGTCGGATGTCCCGGCATGGTGTATAGTACTAGTGCAGTGGACTGAGGGTACCTTACTTGATCAAGACTGCGCTGTTAGTACGAGATACATACCCCTGGACTGTGAACGCGTCATAAACTTACGACCGGCGCCGTTCTAATGCGCAAAACCAGCGCCATGTACCTACCTACCTGGGAGGTACGGGTCCGACGAAGTCAGTCAGAATCCAGACGAACAATTTGACCTAACGGGCCGACGGCAGCCTCGCCTTGAGGGGACACTCCGTAAAGCTACCGAGTTATGGTTTGTACAGAGTAGGTACTGTATACAGATGACGGAAGTACAAGCAGGTGCGTGAAACGTCTCTACCTTAGTCTCATTGCTAATAATCGTTATTTTTCACCTGAGCCGCTAACAGCCTTTCAGTCCAAAAAGAAAAAGAAATTGGGTCCCGAGGCGGGCTGCGGGCATCGTACCTGACTGATCTACTCCCTAATTACTCTGTACTATGATTCGGGCAGACCTGTATGTTGAGGGACGGTGTGACTTGCCTATACCCGTCCCCTCCCTCGTCACGTCTTCCCTGACCCACCATCCCAGGTCCAGGATAGCCGTATAAGGTACGTTTTCCGGTATCTGCAGAATTTCACTTCCTCTTCTTCGTTCCATTTACTCTCTCAACTGTTGTTTAGTTTCCTCAGTCGGTCGGTTCCCCACCCTACATCTTTGTTCCCGATCAGACGCTCGACGACCATATCCCGCCTCTGGAGAATCGCCATCTGGGTACCTACCTCGAGGGCCCGTGGATAGCTTTCGTTATCCTCCCTTCTTTTGGTAAACTTCTTCGCGTCTATGAAATGTCCACCAGCTATATCGTGATACCGCTTTTCGTTTCTGAACTGGTTTCAGGTCTCTCGCTTGATCCCCCTTGAGTCTGTCGTTCAGGACATCGACCGTCGTTCGACCTCTGTCCTCCCTCTCCCTTTCGTTTATGGGGACTCGCCACGATGAAGTTACCTACTGTCCGCGTTGGAACAGCTCTTCTCCTCACGACCCATCTCGCGAATGCGGCCTACTACAAACTAGACTCGGATGGCAGGTCCCCACTCCCCGTTCGGCATTCTATCACTTTCTGTCTCCCAGGGAAAGGGGCGCCGAGCGCGAGCTAACCCGAGCCTTATAGATGCCATAAGGGAATCAGCCAGAACCCTCGCCTTCGATCTCATGTCCTATTACCGCGGTAATGAGACGGGGCAGACTCCCGGCATCCTGCCCGGCCCGCCACCCGCAGGGGACTACTACTGGTGGGAGGCCGGTGCCATGTGGGGTGCAATGATTGATTACTGGCAGTTCACGGGGGACGACACCTACAACGACGTGGTCATGGAGGCGATGCAGTTCCAGGTTGGCGAGGGGAGGGATTACATGCCCAGTAACGTGACCCTGTCCCTCGGCAATGATGACCAGGGCTTCTGGGGCATGTCAGCCATGCTAGCGGCCGAGGCGAACTTCCCCAACCCTCCCGAAGACAGGCCGCAATGGTTGGCCCTCGCCCAAGCCGTCTTTACCACCCAGGCGGCCCCGTCCCGGCACGACGAGACGTGCAATGGCGGGTTGCGGTGGCAGATTCCCTTCGCCAACAAGGGGTTCAATTACAAGAATAGTACGTGAGACTGATCTCCTTTTGGTGTGAATTCTTATTTCAAGTGGAGCACCTAACACGATCATCTTCGACCAGGTATCTCTCAGGGCTGCTTTTTTAATCTGGGGGCCAGGTTGGCCCGGTATACCGGCAATAAGACGTACGCCGACTGGGCGGATCGGACGTGGGACTGGATGGTGGGCGTCAACTTCATCGACGACAAGTACAATATCTTCGACGGCGCCCACGTGGAGCACAACTGCACCGACATCAACAGGGCCCAATTCTCGTACAACAACGCCGTCTTCCTGCTTGGCGCTGCCTATATGTATAATTATGTAAGTCGTCTCCCCGTTTCGGCGGGCATCTCCCTTGGATGCTGATGAGCATGCTGTAGACCGACGGCGACGAGACGTGGAAATCCCGTGTCGAGGGTCTGTTGCAAAACACCATCGACGTCTTCTTCCCGGACGACATCGCCTACGAGGTGGCATGCGAGCCGAGGATGACGTGCACAACGGACATGCTCTCGTTCAAGGGGTACGTGGCGCGGTGGCTGTCGACCATGACGCAGGTCGCGCCCTTCACGGCCGAGACGATCCTCCCCGTGCTGCGCAAGTCGGCCGAGGCGGCCGTCGCGCAGTGCACAGGCGGCGAGTCGGGGAGGGAGTGTGGGTTCCAGTGGTGGTCGGGGACGTTCGACGGCTCGGTGGGGGCTGGCCAGACGATGAACGTGCTGAGCGCCGTGTCGTCTCTGCTGATCGGGGGGGCTAAGGCTCCCGTGACCAACGCAACTGGCGGGACGTCCCAGGGGGATTACACCGCCGGGACCGCTCCACAGGATCCGCTTACGATGAAGCCCTTGACGACGGGGGATAAAGCCGGGGCGGGTATCATCACGTTCCTCTTGCTGGCTTTGTCTGTCAGTATGTTTGCGTGGATGAGTCTTGGGGATGCGTGAGATGCGCAACGTCCTCGTGGGGAGGAAGGAAGTATTGGTGTCTCTTTGCGAAGGCGTTAGGGACCGACGAGGGGTTGTCCCTTGGAGCACTGCTCGTGAGGGGCATTGTGTCCTCCGTTTTTAGGGTATTCATGGCGTTCGGTGGTCGGAAGGGGGCGTGGGCGTCTAGCTGCGTCGTACCATGTTGGTATTTTCCTACGTAGTGGAAGTATGCCACTCGTCGAGATATCTGAGCCTGGTTGACGTTTCGCAAGATTTCACAGATTTGTATGTCAAGCCTCGGTCAAGGCTTGGTTGCATTGGATAAAGTAATGTAGCGAGGCTTGACTGGCAACCCTGGGTTCTGACTCGGTTATTTCCTGCTTTTATGGTTACTGGAGCCATCAATATCGTCCAGGCATCCATCTTGTTCACCCTTCCTTCAACCAACACGCCCTCCTTCATTTTTTTATAACTCGACTCTTAGCCAGGGAGAAGCAGACCATTTCCATCGCGAGACTGGGTTTGAATTCGGAATTCCATAGGTACCTAGGTGAGGTAGCGACCCTGAGCCCGATGAACGATAAGCGATAACGGTCGTAGGCACGAGGGGTTTTCGATTGGACCGACATCGATGGCACGGGCCTGGATGACCTACACAAAAGCTGTGCCCGTCATACATGAGATAGTCGTCGTATACGTGGTATAGATGTGTATGCATGAGGAAGAAGCTAACTAACTAACCGCCCTGGGAAGGATGGGATAAGTCGTCCGTTCCAGGGTAGGTCACATGACCTGCCCCACATACGTGGAGATGGAGATTACCTGAGGCGTATTCCGCCTAATTCGTATGCGCAGACCTGGTGTGCATGTTTTACGCTATACGAATAAGATATAATTAGAGCGTGGTAAGAAGTGTGGCGTGGTGTGGAAATGATCGCAATGCCTTATTATGGTGGCAGAGTGGTGTAACTATTACTCGCGTCGACGAAGTATTTCCTGTGATGTTTTTATACGCCGTACTGTGCAGATAAGTATAGTATTTCCGTGCGAATCACACTTATAGCGACTTGTCTCCACCCTTTTTCCCTGGTTACCGTTACCGCTGGCTTTGTCCAGATCCGCCTTGACCGCCCCTCGTAGCTCAAAGCTCTCTCAGAGGATGGGGTTTTCGGATGGGGTATTCTCCGAATACTCATGTTTTCATAGTAATCGCGGACGCGCTGCTGCCGCCTCCAGTTTAGCGGCCCTCTCCCGTTCGGGCAACGTGCTCTCGCCGCCGTGTCGCTGCCACTCGCGCACGGACCACATACCGCCTGCTTGGTATAAATATTCCAACGTCTTCCTTTCCTTTGGGCATGTACTCTTGACATCCTGTCCCTCTGAAATCCGTCTCGCATCCTCACAGAGATGATCTTATGCTTCCTGCGCCCGAGCTGTAACCTGCGCCCTTGTTGTCCTATATGACGCGGCCGCTTCCTGCACCTTGCCGCTTTGTCGTGCATCCTCCGTCTTCGTGATTCATGTTCACGCCCTGGACCTTCTGCTTTTGCAGTCACCTATGCTGCTGCCTGTACGTTTTGCAACGAACCAAGGTGCTTCGCCTTCACCTCCGTTTGGGCCTCTGCCCTGCAGTACGTCTTTCTCATGCCACACCGAAAGCGCCTCGGGGACTGACCTGGCAGAGCACTCTCACCAGGTTGTCGCTCCTGCTGCCCTGGAGGCCGCCGACTCATCCCACCATCCAAGGGCGCATTCTTTAGCCCACTCTCATGTTCGGAAATGCCGCAGACCCTATTAACGGCCATGTCCGAGTCGGATGATGGTGCCTCGTGACCCATTCAGGGGATCCTCGCAGCCACTTTCCTTTACTTCTATAGGCTTTGGGCCTATGCTCCATGTCTATTGGGGGCTTTGGACCGCGGATCACCGCTAGCCGTCATATAGGACGCGGTCGCACGAGTGTCCTAAGGCCGTTATATACATCGTCGTACACAGCCATATATCATTTATAGGAGAGATAGCCATGTATCCGTCGGACCACGGAGTAGAATACGAGGTAAGAAGGTGGCATAGCGAGCTATTTCCGCCTTGGCTATGGATCGTCCGCCTCGTCACGAACTTGATTTGATTCGATAAGGCATTTATCTGCGAACTATTTAAAAGCCTAAGAAGTTAGCCAGGAGTCAGAGAGAGCTGCCTATGACGGCTAAGTCGCCGGAGGCTCATCACGACGGCTGCATGTACGCAGATGTATATGCCAGGATTGTCGATTGGTCCGAGGGCTGTCCGCTGGCGTCAATCGCAACCCCCTGGAACACTATTGTATCGTTATAGTGTGATAGCTTTTCGGCAGATGTTTGATAAGCAGGTTAGTGAATGGTGCTGTGAGTCATTGCACTGGGCTTCTTAGAGCATGCCTGGGGCCTCCGGGCCAGCGGAGCAGGTGTTGCAGATTGACGTATTGGCGAGGGGCGGATGCCAACACCTTAAGCTCTCTGTGTAGCATGTTGCGTATTTAGTCTCCTGCTCGCCCCTTCCCCCACAGGGCTATTACGTTCATTCTTTATCCCATAGGCATCCACGGTATCTCCTCGGGATAATAGCCATATCTCTTAACAACGTTTCTTTCTAGACTCCCCCCGCTCTTTAGGGCGTAAAAGACCCTAGTCGGCGTTAGCAGCGGCATCCTAACCCCTTATTCTCTCCGGAGCTACCGCTTCTTCCTAGTCAGGGGTAATTCGAGGAGCCGTAGACTTAGAGCGGCCAAACATAAGAGGACCTAATCTCGATTCTATCTAACACCGATTCTATGGTGTCTACTACGGAAAGAAGATATACTAACGAAAATAATAGGGAAGATTCTGACTTAATGCTCCTATCCATTAGCTCGATAGTCGTATCGCTTCCGAAGGCGCGGCCGGGCAAATCAAGCAGAAGAGCGACCGAGACGGAAGCTTCTGGCGTGGATCCTGTATTAGCAGTATCCCCGAGGCAAGCGGGAGCCGCCTTAGCTTGGCCAGATGAGGCACAACTATCTGAACTTGATGTTACGAGGCAGGAATTTCCTTGCGAAATAGATCGCATAGTGGAGTTGGGAGCACCTACCCCTGAAAGTCAGCCAAACTCAGTTATGATGGACAGCCGGCACGTACCCGCCAGCCAACACATCAATCATACGAGTGATGCTGTCTTAGACAATGATCGGAGTTATAATGTTCAGAGTCCTTCTGATTACCCCTGCACTTACGGACACCTTCCGCGGGCTGCCAGTCCCGCCGAGGCGGTCCAGGCATCAGTCCAGGAAAGGGAAATCCTTACCGGGGAGTTATACGACAATGCTATTCCTGCAGCCCTAACCCTAACCCCATCTTCCGCACCGCCCTCGCCTAAACCATACAAAGGGGAGGGTTTAGATAATGCAACTGGCGCGTCCGTCCGTGTGACGCCCGAGGTCATAGATACTGGGGTTCCGGGACCGGGACCAAAGTACCATCTACGTCAACATCTCCTCAACGCTTCGGCCGCAATCTCCTGTAAACGAATAAAACGACGCAGTCCAAGGACAGCGACACAGACAACCAGGGCTCAGGCAGTAAGGATAAACTCGACAGGCTAGAATTTCAACACAGAGAGATCTCTTATTTACTCGTAGCCAGTGAGGATTCTAGCTCAGATAATAAGGACGTTCACCAAAGTCGCAAGCGCCGCAGGGTGTCGAAGTCCCCTTCCGGTGCAGTTCGCAGTACTTTAGACAGTGCGCGATACTCTCGGGGCTCCCGCTATAGGCGATTAGCAGCATAGCTGTCGAGCGTGTCTCAAGCGCCTGGATACAATATTCACCGGTCGCCAACATCAGAGGCAAACCCAGCTTGCTCCAAAGCCGACGTGCTTCTTGCTCAATTCGAGCAATGGCCTCTCAGAGACGTTTTCCTCAAGCGCATCACGGAGGGCAGCAAGACGACATTTCAACTACAGTTTGAATGGGACACTGAGTCCTATGAACCCCATAGCGACAGATCCGTATCGCAATCGAAGAAGGGCAGAAAGGTAATGAAGAATTTAGGTTCAGCTGTGAAATCATCCGGCAAAAGGTGGACATTAGAAGAGGACGAAACTGTGCGCAGGATGAGACAAGCTGGCAGGTCCTGGTCTGACATCAAGCGCGCCCTTCCTCGCCGTTCTGAGGGTACGATCCAAGTCCGGTACTCGACGAAACTCAAGGGTTGATCTAGTCACGCAGAGCAGCTCCAAATATGTTTTCTATGAGAGAGTGGATAGCTTGTGCTGACGGGCGTGTCTACATTGTTCACCACGAATATCTGCTTGCGTTGTACCAATTTTTAGTCTGCCGCTCTTCTCCAGAAATCGCTATCGTTGTCAACGTCATAGTCATCGTCATCATAGCCATCATTGTCGTAGTCATACCCAGAATCATCAAGGTTATTATCGCTGAATCTTCTAATATAAGGGTAGATTTAAGCTTAATTTATTCCGTGATTTGATTCGCCTGCTAATTAAGCTATGAGATTAGACGGCAGGGTATAAGAGACCACCGCCAACTTGTCCCGGGAATACTGAGCAGCTAGCCTCGCCTCCATAGAGTGCACACCAACACAACTGAATTTAGTAAGACAACAAATTTACTAGTCCGTGGGCCTCCTTTTGTACTCCGCGGGGCCTCGCTTTGCCCCGCCGGCTAGCCTTCGGCTTAGGTTTCCCCGGCCGCTTTCATATCCACACCCTGTTATAATCAGAGTAAAGAACATTTCAGCAGGGTCGCTGCTGCCGGCACACATCCGTGCGGTGGAGGACAGCGAATACCGGCAGTGCGTGGTGTGGCAGTGCGACCCCATGCACGGCAACACGCTCTCGACGGGCAGTGGAATCAAGACGCGCAAATAACTACAGTTGGAAATCCGGGGCCCAATAAGTGCGCCCCCCAGGGCCAGAGGGCGCTTGAAAGTGTCACGTGCCAGTCTCACCGGCGGCGCACTTCGTGAAAATCCGCTTCACTCTCTCATACCATCGCCACCCACCACAACAGCACTATTATGGACCTTGGCGCATTGGATTTCAAACAGCTTCAGATGCCGAGATATGCCCCAAGCACAAGATGGACATCATTCGAAGGTTGGAATTACAACGGCATGACAGAGCGGTTGGAGGCATTGCTTGCCAAGCTTGACAAGAGGATCAAGCCCTGGCCACCTCGATCCCGACCCCTGCGGGTCCGAAGGTGCCAATAGGGGGCGCTAAAACCATTGCCATCCCCACACAAAAAAGGAAGGCAGCCGCCACCGACGACCGACAGCATCTCATACCTGCGACCTTTCGCCAGCATGTCTACAACTGTCAGCACCACGAGCCGCTTCCTCAGTGCGCTGCAGGCGCAAGGTCGCTTGATCTTCGAAGGTCCTCACACAGTCCGCAAAGTGGGCGAGGCGTTTCTCATTCGGAGAGAGGCGGAGGCAATGGATTATGTGAAGAAGAATACATCCATTCCGATTCCAACAGTTCTACGAGTTCACCTCGACGACGCCTCCAACGGCAAAAGCAGCTGGATCCTCATGCAACGGCTGTCGGGACTTGAACTTGGTACTGCTTGGCCTCAGATGGATGATGACGCGCGGTCCGAAACCATATGTCAATTAAGATCATACTTGGAGCAGCTTCATCGACTCCGCCCAGCAACTGCCGTCGTGGGACGCATTGGATCGGCCTCTGGAGGTCCGGCTTGGGATCACAGACTGAGCAATATGTCGACCTGTGGCCCTTTTGAGTCCGTGGCTGAATTCCATGATTTTCTAGTTGCCCCCGTCCGACAATGCCCGCGACCCGAACTGGTCGCTAAATACCGAAGCCAACTGGCTGATACATACGACGTATGCTTCGCCCATGCAGATCTCTCTTGGGAGAACATTCTCGTTGATGTTTCGACTGGGCAGATCCAGGGTATTCTGGACTGGGAAATGGCAGGGTTCTGGCCGGAGTGGTGGGAGTATAGGAAAGCTCTCTTTGGTTCTCGAAGCCAACAATGGTGGAGGCATATATTAAAGGAGGTCATGGTGGAACGTACAAGAGAGACAGAGATCGACATGGAGCTAGAGATGTTCTGAATCGGGGCTATCAAACTAATCCGTCCTTACGACCCCTCGTCACAGCATTGGCACTGCTCGTCTTCCATTCATTTCTCCTTCAACCAGGTTTTCAACGCCTCTGCAGTCAGATAATCATATGCGAAACCATCCTCCTTTAGCTTTTCGAACCCTTCGAGCGCCCAGTTTTGGCAGTTCCACCCTGAATGCTCGACAGTATCAATTGACACATCCTTCAAGATCTCATGAATCCTGTTCAACATCGAACTGTCCACTTCTCCAACCTCAAGCTCTTCCTTGAGAGAGCCGGACTTTGCAAGATCTACCTCCTCGGGTCCTTTGTAGTAGAAGGCACCTGGCATTCCTCGGAGTTGGTGTGCTATGCCCAAGTTCTTGCTACCCCTGACCTCAACTTGGATGAAGTATGACCAGTGGTATGGCTTGGTTTTGCCAGTCGTTGAGTACGTACCACGATCATAGGTGCCGAGATATCTAAGTATACACTGACGCTGGCCCACTTTATTTGTCGACCACTCTCAGCAGCCTGGTGTTCGTACTAGTACTACCGCCCGGACCCGTTTTCCGAATTTTTACAGTGTTTTTCGGGCGACTTTACTATATAGTATATACTTGTATAGTCTGTAAAATTAAGCTACTTCTATAATATGTAGCGTTTACTACTAATCGCCCAGTAGGTTATTAAGGGATCTTAGTACGAATCCCCTGTAAATTTAACCTTAGACTATACTCCTATATACTATATCCCCTAATAAGATATAAATAGGATATAAGATAGTGTATAAAATACGATAAGAAATACGATAAGAAATAGGATAAGAAATAGGATAAAAGAAATAAGATAAAAAATAAGATAAGAAATATACTAAAAGAAATAGGATATTATTATTATTATTATTCTTAATCTTACTCCGCTATCCTAACTAATCTATCTATAAGAGCCTTTCTAGGCTATACGGTCCTTCTCGGGTGGCTATAGAGGGGAAAACCCGGGTAAAACCCGGGGAAAACCTCTATACACTTCCTTAGGTGGAGAGGTACCATTATGGGGCCGACGTGGCCCCGGTTTATCCCTATTACGTATCTAGATCTTACCTTTAGGCCGGTAGCTAACGGGAAGTGTGGTAGGCTAGTGGTTAGGTGGGTTAGCCTAGGCTAATCTCTATCGGTAGAATAGGGGCTAAGGGGGCGCTACCGCGCTTCCGCTATACGGTAGCTACGGCTCTCCCTCCTCGGGCTCCTTATATCCCTTAGGGATTATACCTTTATTCCTTCTATTCGGTTAATAAAAAGAGTAGGGGAGGTAGGCGTCTTTTACCTCCCCTAAGTAGGTTCCTGCTATATCCGGCGGTAGGTAGGGGGAATAGGGCCCTACCCTGTTATAAGAAATAGATAGTTAATATCCCCTAAGGCCTTTATACCTTAATCCTCCCTCTTCCTCCTATAACGCTAATAAGTTTATTATAGGTTTTCCCCGGTCTATTCCCGCTAACGGTTTTATAGGTATATCGTTACGGCCTATACTAACTAGTAAACCCCTTTAGTTTTCTTATTATATTCGTATTATATCTTAATTATAGGTGTCTTATAGGTAATATCGCGGTAGCTTAATAGCGTAGGGTTAACTAGGTAGTATAGTATCGATTTATATATATAAATAAGTAATCTAAAGTGGTAGTATAATATAAGTTCTTTTCGTGGCGTAGCGGTGCCTTAGTAATAATATACTAATAGTTATAGATATCGTCTCCTAATAATACTAATACTAATAATAATAACCGCCGCTATAAGCGCGGAATAGTTTATATTATACCGTATATAGCCCGGTAATATCGGAGTAGTATTATAACGCTAATATAGGGTAGTTATATTTATTATAGTAAGCGTTTAGGTATTTACCCCGATAATATAAAAGCCTACGCTAATATTACGGGAATAAGCGCGGCCTATTATTAGTATACTAATAGTCGTTATCCCTATAAGGATATAAGTTACCTCGGTGCTATAGTAGTATCGTATATATATCGGGGTAGATATAGCTAATAGTTTAATAGGTCCCCTCCGCTACTAAGAAGTAGTAGTAACGCCTTATAGATATTTATTAGGCGTATATAACGGTAAAGGCCGCTAATAGCGCGGGTATCGCTATTATAGGTATCCCCCTTCGGTGCCGTAGCGGTTCTACGCTAATAAGTTATAGGCTAAAGAGCGCCTAAGGATAGCGTCCTAGTCTTTTAGCCGGGCCCTAAACCGGGTATTACCTTCCGGTCACGGTTATAGCGGCACTGTATTGGTAAAGGTATAAGAGTTATCTTATTAGATAAGACGTTTAGAGGGTAAGATAGACCTTATCCTAGAATACCTTATAAATAGCCCCCCCCCCCGGTCCCGCTACGGCTCCTTAGCGGTATTAGCTGACTAGCCTAATAGGGTCTTAAGTATATTAAAAGCGGTATTAATACCTCTAAGAGAGGTAATAATAATAAAAGCTAATTAGTATTATAATAGTACCGTGTTAATACTGCTAGGGTCCCGGCTAGTAGGGCCCTTATCTTAATAATTAATTAGTTGTAGTGCTACCTTATCCCCGATATAGTCCCCTTTCGGTATCACGGGTATCTTTATAGGCCTCTATAACTTCGACGGCGAGGCGGAAGTCCTTAAGCCTCTTCCGTTATAGGAACTACCTTATAACTACCCTGGCTTTCGTGTCGTGGTCTAGTATATCCTATAAATCTCCTCTAATCGTGAGTAGTCTCCCTACGGCACTAAAGAGCTCCTTACGCTTTTCCTTAGTTATATCCTAGTATTAGAGTATTACGTATTCCGCTATTTCTACCCCCCTATTACTATAAGGGCACCACGTTATTAGAAATCCCGGCACCCTCGCTTTTACTAAGAAGGCTTATAGGCCTAGCTTTTCTAATCTAATTTAGGTAAGTGCGGCGTTTTATAGCTTTAGGGGACCTCTATATTTCCGGAGGGAGCGTTATATCGGGGAGTGGCTTAGTGCCGTTATAGCGTAGGTGTATAGCCTCCGTGACTCTGCCTAGGTTTAACCCTAGTCCTTTACAAGGGCTTTCCTCGGGGCCGCGTTTCCGGCTTAGGTTATTAGGGCGTTAAGTTAGGCTATCCACGTAAGGGCTATATAGGTCCTATAATACCGATTCGGTGCCGCTAAGGCTCTTACTATAGCGTATACTCCGGCTAATATCTTATCTTCGGCTCCCTCCTTTTATATCCGGCGGACCTTCCAGGCACTAAGGCTTAAGAGGTATAGGTTAAGGGGGGGGGATAAAGGTCTCTTTTTCGAGGACTCTAACCGGTATGGCTTTATAGGCTCCGGCTATTAATTAGAGGCACCGGTTCTATACCGTTATAAATACCGCTACGGGGCCTTACTAGGGGCCGGCCCTTATTTTATAGATAGTTAAGGCGTAGTAGGTAATTACTAGTCGTATTACTATAAGGTATAGTCATTTTATATCCGCGAAGCTATACCTTTATACTACCGCGCTAAGTCTTACCAGGGCGTATATTTAGGTAGTTAGGCGGCTTTTTACCTTTTTAGTATTTTATCGGAAGTCGAGCTTCCTATTAAGCTAAATACCTAGGAACTTTATCGCCTCTGTTACCGGCACCGAAGTAATATTTAGGGGGAGCGGGGTAAATAAGGGTTAGCGTGATTATATAAAGGGAATGTAGATATACTTAGCTAATTCGAATTATAATCCGCTTATTATCTCTTATTCTAGGTATATCCGCTACGCGGCGGCGAGGCGTTACCGCGTCTATACGTTCATCCTACTAAAGGCGGTAATATTCGTGTTATTAGTAAAACCTACTATTATTATTTTAGGGACCCTTTCTAGCTCCTTATATAGAGTAAAAATATAGAGGATAAAGAGGATAGGAGAGATCGGGGAGCCTTACGGTATACCCCTATAAAGGTGCCGCGGGGGGGCCGTTTCGCTATTAAGTAATAGCTAGGCTATACGGTCCTAGAGGAAGCTACTAATTAGAGTAGTAAGCTACTAAGGGTAGCCTTTCCTTTTAAGCGCCTTAATAAGGTAAGAGTAGGGGATAGTATTAAAAGCGCCTTTACTATCTAGTTAGAGTATTAAAACGGTACCACTATAGGCCTAGCTCGCCCTTATAGTCTTTATAACTCTTTATACTACTATCTTTATACTTCGCTCTACCCGGTTATTTATTTATCCCTCCGGGAGGAGCCGATACTCCTTTGCTATGATTATAATCCGGTCGGCTAGTATCCCCTTAAGGACCTTACCTATTATGCTAAGGAGTAATATCGGTCGCTAGCCTTTTACTATCCCGTAGTCGACCGGCGGCCGGCCTTCCTTCTTAAGGACTACCACGGTAATATAGCGGCACCTTTTCGGGTAGTAGCTCGCTTCGAGGTATATTATAAAGATAGCACCAAGTCTTTAGTATAGGGGGGGTCTATATACTTTTAGGAGCCCTGCTAGGAGTCTATTAGGGCCTAGTGCCGCCTAGGGTTTTATCTTTTTAAGGCGCCCCTATATATCCGCTATAGTAATATCTTAGCAGATATTATACCCCGGGAGGAATTCCGCGCCTAAGGGCCTAGGGGCGGTAAAGGGGGGGGGGGGGGGAAGAACTTCCGGTTTAGGACCTCGGCCTTCTCTGCGTATATAGTTATCGGGTAATCGCTATCGTCTTAATATAGTAATAGCACTAATAGGGGGTCCGGTAATACGCCCCCTTTAGTTTATACCTATTTTTATAGCCGCGAAAAAAGGCTATCGTCCTTCCTAGTTAAGTAGAGTAGGTATCGCTAGTATATCCGTTTCGCTACCGCCACGGCCTTATCTCGGCGCCTCTCCGCTTCCTAGAACTCGTCCTATCGGTCCCGGGATTTCCTGGATATATATCTACGGTAAAGGCGCCTTATTTCCTAGGTAAGGGCGGTTAGCTCCGCGTTTTATTAAAGGGTGGATAGGTGTTTAGGGGTACCCCTATAGCGGCGTGGCGCGGCCTTATCGGCTATAGTTATAAGGTCTACTATTAGGTTATTTAGTACTACGTCGATATCTTTTAGTAATATAAGGGGGCTAGTCTATTATAGCCGCGTAGTAGCGAGCTAGGGGACCTATAAGGGGTTAAAGTCTTTCTAGACTTAGCGGGGCCTAGCTAGGTTCCGCGGTAGTATTATCGCGGTAATCGGCGAGGT